ATATTATCCTTTTTCCCTCTCAAACTATAACAATTTCAGTAGAAATTGGCATAGGACTTAGATATTATTTTCACATTTCTCTTATTTTTGTTTAATTATCTCTCCTAACTCTTGTTCACGTTTATTAGCTAATTATCCTATTACTAAAAAAATGTGTAATACTATGCTTAGATTTTTACATAAAAATCTGATATATTATATTTCAAAATTTAGGAATAATCAATAATTTTTGTGATATAGATTTTAGTTTATTTTGCAGATATACTTAAAGCTAATAATGTAATTGCAACATATAATATAAGATATCATATCATATTTGTATAATTATATAGAATAATCTCAACAATATGAATTTTGAATTAGAGAATATGACTTTCAGAACACCAAAAAATATACAACAAATTATAAATAAAGACTGAGACAAAGATTTTTCAATATATAATATTGAAAATGTCTTTTGAAGATTTTGATAAATATTTGAATGTTAATTCTTTTTGCAACTATTTTCAAGAAATAATTAATTAGCTAAAAACTAAAATTTTTTATAAAAAACTTAAATATTTATAAAATCTATGTATTTAATTATATATACTATATCAATCTTGAACTTTTCAAATATCAGTTGAACTTTATTCAAGTTATTTTGAAAAATTTAATAGAACAAAATTACAAATTAAATTTAATGATTATTTTTATTAAATTCTTTACTTTTTTGAACTGAAATTATTTCACATACTGAAATAATTAAAAGTAATAATCACTACAAATTTTTAATATATAATAAAAATTATTTTTCATATTGAACAATATCTTTAACATATAAAATAAAATAATATACAGTAATTTTTGTGAGTTTTATATAATATTTAGTTAAATGTATATAATAAATAGGTAAGAATTGTTTACTAAAAATAATCAGAAAATTTTTGAGATAAATTAAAGTAAAATTAATTAGTAAACTTTAAAAAAATTAAAAATAATAAAATTAATACAAGCTTTTATTATTAATTAATATTTCAAATTCAAAAGAAGTTTTATGTCATTATTGATTACAGAATGTGATTTTCTAAAACTATATAGCTGATAATATTATATTATTATTTAATCACAATAATTTATAAATATAAAGTCTTGAATAATTTTTTAACTAAAATATATAAAATACTTTATAAATTATATATGAAAAATTCATATTAATTATTGAATAGAAAAAATATAATATAACAAATAGTAAATATAATAAGTTAAATTACTATTTAAATTATTTAAATATAATATAATATTAAATTATACTTATAGATAAAATACAAAGAAATAGTTACAATAATAAGCAAAATAATTTATCATAAACTAAAAAATTTGACAAGATATTATAGAAATTATTTTTGAATATTATTAAAGCAAAAGTGATTTTGTTAAAGAATTTGAAAAGTTCACTATATTAAATTTTATTGAAAAATTATTATATATAATTTTTATATTAAATATATTTCTTAATATATTATTACAAGATTCTGAAAGTGAAGACTTTTATATAAAAGTTTATGATGTAGTTCATTTAGAAAGTAATAAAATTCTAAGAATATTTAATAATTTTTATAGCAAAAAGTAATTCAGTGATATTGCAGTAACTTTTGTTAAAGATTAAAGTTATTATAGATCAAATAAAGATATTTGATATAAAAAAATAACTATAATTTTAAAGATTTGTTAATTTTCAATTTTGCAAATTTAAAGAAATTTTTTGCTTTTTCTAAAATTCTTCTGAGAATTAGCAAAAGAATTATACAATTTCATTATAATTCATTGATATAATATTAAACTAAATGAACTAAAATTATATGATTATTCTCATCTATACTATATCAAAAAGTATAATATAATTCTAATAGAATTTATAAATCAAGAAATATATATAGTATCATAATTTGATAAAAAAATTATTTTTTGTTAAATAAATATATATTTTAAAACTTCAAAGAATATAAAATAACAAAGAATATTAAAATTAAATTTATATCATTAACAAATTTCAAAGAAGTTTTGTAAAGTTTAAAAATTAGTACATATTATATATTTATTCATAATAATAAATAAATAAATATGCAATAATTTGTAAATATACAATAATTTGTAAATATACATATTATTACAACTTTTTTTGATTAAAATTTGTATTTCGTAGTTATTTACAGATTTTTATTAATTTAATCAAAAAATTACAATAATTTGTATATTTGCAGATTATTATAAATTTGATATTTTTTGAATTTTCTGATATATTATTTAAAATTATTTAATATTAATAACTAGTATAATTTTTGAAATAATAATAATTTTATAATATTTAATATTTGAATTTTAAATTTAATTATTAATTATTTTTTTATTTGAAAATTCAAATAATTATTAACTTATTAATAAATAATCTAATAAATAAATTTAATATATAATTTTATAATATATTTATAAAAAATACTTATATATAATATAATTGAAAATTTATTTAATATATTTGTAAAATATATTTAAAAAATTTTATTTATATTATAAAAATAAAATATTTAATAATTACTAAATAATATATTATTTTCTAAATTTAAAACTCAATTTTACAAAAAAATAAATAATTTATTTTAAATATAATTAATATAATATAATTTAAATTAAAAATATATTAAGAATATCTTAATTAATTATTATATATTATAATATTTTTTATTTACAATTAATATGCAATAGCTTTTTTGATATTATAAAACAAGAAATTTTTATATTAATTTGCTATTAATTTATATTATAATATCTTTAAATAAAGCTCAAAATCTTCAATATTATTAATATTTTACAAATTAATTAACTCAATTAATTTATAAAAAAAATTTATCAATAATTCAAATAATAAAGTTAAATATTATTAATTATAATAATAACTAGAAAATATGTTAAATCTTTAAAATAATAAAAATATATTCAAAAAAATACTCTTAGCTTGCAAAATTTGCACATAATTATTTATTATTATAAAATTAATCAATAATATAAAAAATTATGTTTTAATACTAATAATAGAAACTAATAGAAATTATAGTATATATTAGAATTAGAGTTCATTATGAAATTTAAACTAAAAAAAATTATATATATTTTTATTTTTATATGATTTGGAGATGTCTGTTACTTATGTTCTCTATTATATAACTAATAAAATATGATAAAATATGATATAATATAATAATATACTAATATACTAATTTATTACTTTTTATTTTATAATTAGAGTTAGGTGTAATTTCCAATATCAAATTCTATTTCTTCTCCCTTTTCGACTTCACCTTCTCTGATATAATATTCAATGGTAGTATAAATTGCAAACAATATAAACCATAAATCTGCCCAGAATAATAAAAGTGAAATTTTGTTCACTTCCTTTAGTATCCCATAAAAACAAATATAGAAATCTATTCCACCCATAATATAACCTAATATAGCTCCGACTATCGTACCTTGGACACAACTCAAACAACAGCTAACTACCAAATTAATAACTATAAATAGAACATGAAATTTAACATCGAAACCAGATTTAAAAAAAATTACTAGAAGATAAATTACCACACCGAAAATCGACAAGAATATTAAAATAAATATTGCTGTCATGACTTTACTACTAGTGCCTGACAACTCGACATGCATTGTATTTGATTCGGAATTTCCTTTATATATGCGAATTAGCAGTGTTATTATCATAGATACTATTATCACACAATTTAAAACTATCAACATTATTGTCACAGTGCTGAACCCTTCTGTCACATAAAAGAATATAGGTGTAAAAATGGTTCCTATAAATAGCACCAAGGCTATACAGATTATTTGCCTGAGCTTTTTAAGTTTATGTATTGGAATCATCGTGATTAGAAGAATTATAGTGACAACTATGTAAGGAATGTATTCCTTTATTTCAAAGTTAAACATATCAGAAAGTGGCAATCTTGCTGATACGGCAGGGAATAAACAAGTCAGGAAGAAAAGAAATTTAGAGGTTTTTTCCGACATTATTTCTTTTAATATCAGTTATAAAAGAGCTTTCAAAATCTCCAAAAATGACCGCAAAAAAGTGTTGCTTATATACGTACGAATTCTAGAGGTAAAATGTTTGATCAATTTGTTTCAGGAAAAAAATAATAGAACAAATGTCTGATCACGGAAAAAAATTCCGTTAGTTGACGTTAATCTGGACGACAGAATTTCTTTGGTGTTACGGTATACAGTATGTACGCCGTCAGGTTCTGAGAAGAAATAGCTTATTACGCATACGTACTCTTTATAGTTGACCTCCTTTATAGCGGAGACTAATTAAACTTGATATAATGTATTAATATGTAATAAATTCAACATCTATGCGCTGATATTTCGAATTTATATATGCATAACAATATAAAGCTGGCTGGCATTAGGCTTTGTTAAGTATAAAGCTAGCCAATATCAATTGTAATTTTAGGAAAATCATAGTATTGGAAATTCTTAACAATATAAGAATATTGAGTATTTCAAAACAAAATAACTTTCTAATAAATTAGCTAATAACAATAGAAATAGAGTTTTGATATATATATTAATTGTTTTACTTTTTGTTTAATGATTTTGAATAGATGTCTTGTGCTGTAATAGATTTTTTTTTGATATACTATAAAAGAGAGTCACAGTGTATGTATCTATCTAAGTATGGTTCAAGAACAGAATTTATGCAACATTTGCAAGCACAAGATTTTTCCACAATTCACGAAGTCCGTCACAACACTGACATGCAAGCATTTCTACCATTGAGATTATATCAAACAACACAATTTGCGTTGCACAGTCTGGGTTCCGGCTCGGAGCTTCAGCAATTGCCGATACTTTTCGAAGATATGGAGGAAATTCTGGAGGAATAACCTAATTTGTCAAGGATTCCCTACAAGATCAACAAGAACAAGTAACCGCCACTATTCGTCCACAACTGCAGGACTCTGGACCAAAAGTCCCTGCAACTGCTTCACAACTAGTCGTGTCAAAAAATAAATCTCACAAGATCGCGTGAGGAAGATACGAACGACTACAGTGTGATGAAAAAACTTCTCAGGTATTACTCCACAACAAGATGCAACTATTTTAGACAAGTATCCACTTCACCAAAGGCCATTACGAGATTACCAATGTCGAAACACAAAATGTTACTGCAAGCCAAGATGATATACAATGCTATCACAGGTAGAAAATGGTTGGTACACTAGTGGTTTTTTTGTGGACCTCTAGAGGAGTTCCGAATTTCCTAGTGTTTCTGTTGAGGTTTATATGATTTTCTCCTAAATTCAATGAATTATTAGAGATTTATTAAGAAACCACTAGGAAATCCGGAACTCCTCTAGAGTTCCACCACTAGTGTACCAATCCTTTCCTACCTGTGTATTTTTCCTTCGTAAAAGTTCTATTCCAACGCCTGGGGCAATATAATCTCATCATGATCGTACCGCCCAAAAGAAGTTAGGAATCAAATAGCCAAAGAGATTACTTTGGAAAAATTAGAAAGCCCGAAAATACACGAATTTATCAATATCGGAGAGGTAAGATGGGATTCGTACGAAATCCCGATATTCATAATCCTGACAGTACATATGCCTGACTGACAAAATTCCGCCTAGTATAAAATCCCGAAACACCTAAATCCCAACAATTACAAAATCCCGACAGTTACAAAATACCGACAATTACAGTTACAAAATCCCAACGATTAGCATCTAAAACCGTCATAGCATCCCCTAAAAGTTATGTAGCTGAGTTTTATTTCAGAACCAAAGTCAAAAAAAAAGCATATGTAATTTTTTAGTAAATTAATATAGTAAATACGTATATACTTTGCTACATAATGTACCAAGATAATTTATAATATAAGATTGTGTGCGATCCCACGAAGAAAGTCCATCACTGAGCGGTTTTCTCGGTCATTAACAATCGTCATGATTCTTTTCAAAAAAAATTGTTCTACGAAGATGATAATTGAAAAAATTCATTAACCTTAAATATGTACCAGATTACCTAAAGGTTGATTATAGAGTTAGGGTTAGGATCAGGGTCAGGGTTAGGGTTAGGGGTTGGCGGGAGAGTAAGATTATATGCAAAATTGTCTCCCGACATTTTTTATTAGTACTCCAAGTTAGGTCTGAACATTCATTCTCCGTATTCTTCGCTTTTCATTTTCTTTTGTGTTAGCCGGACTGATCAAACATTTGCATATTTGTCAGAGAAAATTTAAAAATTAGCTACGTTACTTTATTTAGTGTGATGCTAGGGTTGTAATTGTCGGGATTTTGACCGTCGGGATTTTGTACTGTCGGGAATCCATATATTGAATGTAAAGTAACTGAATTGAGTTTATCAATTTGATGACAAGAGCGAATGTGAGTGAAACTAATAAAACATAATAAGAATAATTGTCGTGTTTAGACTCATGAAATTCAACGGATACGATGAATTCACATATGGCGTAATCGTGTAATGAAAATCATCCTTCAAATTTTGTGGTCTTTTGACTCACGGTCTCTCGTATATTGTCGTAGTTGGTGGCCGTTATGAAGAGAAACTTAAAAGAATATCAAGAGAGTTAAGATTTTCTCATTACAAATCAGACTTTATTGTTTGCTCATTCTTTCTATCACTATATACAATTTAATCTTTAAGAGTATCCTATAAGAAATCAAGCAGACCGAATTTATTATAATAAAAGATTCTTTATATTATTTCCTATATATAGTTTTATGAAATAAATGTTGTCACTCTGTGGCTCATTATATCCCATTTACTCAAAAATATCCTTCACTACTCCTGCACCAGTACGAAAACCATCTCCAATACGAAACATTGAATTCTCGGTACTTTTCAGAAACCAATAAACGGCGTTCCGTGCATCAATTACAATTCCGATACCTTTTAAATATGACCATCCGATTTGAGCGGATGCAAAGCCGTCTCCTTGATTCGCAGGCTTTGTAAGCCATGTAAGCGCATGTTTCACATCCTTTTCCACACCAATCCCTTCTGAATAACATATCGCCAATCCTCTCTGTGCGATTTTATCTCCTTCGTTTGCTGCTATATTATACCAATAAAAAACTTTTTCTCCTAAATATGTACCGATAGCCTTATAATAGCAAACTGCTAATCGAGTTTTATAAAAGGTGCTTCCGTTTTCAACTGCGCTTGAATTCGCTTTTTCAGGATCTTTTTTTACATTTTTCTTCAAGGTAACGCCAAGCAACTGCCGCTTGTCCAGTGGATGAATCACTTTCTGCGGATTTTAAAAACCATTCAAAGCTTTTCCAGATTCGATTTGACTCCTACGCCATCATGCATACAAGTCGCATAATAGAATTGTGCGGTAGGACTCCTTTCTCAGCCGCTTCACGATAATTTCCAAAGCTTTCCCGACGTACCGATACCATATTGATAGCAAAGCCCGACAAAAAAGCTACCAAATAGATCGTTGGCATTGCTGACTGCGTCATTATAGAAGTACGAACGCACCCTGACCGGACTGCTCACAACCGATTCCGAATTCACGACAAAATCCTAATAAAGTTAATTATTTCATTGATTTATTGAAATCGGTGATCTCCCAAAAGTCATCGACTAAAAATCGTTTTGTAAGATGTTTTAAAATTCTTTTTTGTATTCGGTTATGTGTCTTAAGTATTTATAAAACTTGCATAAAATGTGATTACAAATTGCTGGTCTTTCTTTGTAAGTCGATTCCTTTAGAATGTCTAGTCGTTTGTTCATGATTAATTACAATCGATTCATTGTTGCCTTTTGCCACATCTTTTTTTTTCAAAAAATCCCTTTTATAATAAATTATTTATTTTGGGAAATCTCATTTTCCCTTGATAAAAATGATCCATCATTCTCCCTTTTGAAATATTCATGATTTTCATTTTGGTTTGAAGCAGTTTGCACAGTAGCGGTAGATTTTGTCATTTTAATTTTCGTGAAATTCGTTGACTATATAGGAATGTCTGCTATACGTATTTATAGCTAGTCAATGGATTGGATTGGATTGGATACATTGGACGCTTTTGGATTTGACGTCAAATCCAATGTCTAATGTCCAATTGATATCATTGGACCATTGGACATGACAACACTGTTTATAGCCAAGCAAGTTGTGTTATTGGTTGACGCCAATAAAAGGTACAAAAAATACTGCGTAAATTGAGCGATAGCCAATGTTTAAAGAATAAAGAATAAGGGTAATCTCATCTTTACAAGAAAACCAAGATCTATAATATTTACCTTCTTCTAATTTACTTATTACAGGACCAGAATCCTTGTATTACTTTCTATAGCATAAGGAAGTTTTTGAAAGTGTAGAACAACGCATTAAATGTATTGTTCCACAATCCCTTTGTTGTTTTTGCAGTAAAATTAGTGTAAAACAAGTATAGAACAATTAACGTTAATACTTATTCGTTACGAACTGCATTGTTTAATGCATATCATGTTGTTCTACATTGACCTTAATTAACAACAAAGGTCTTATTAATTAATAACAAAGAGTTTGCACATTTAACGTGTTGTTCTACACTTTCAAAGACTTCCTGGTGAGATTTCAAGGATTGATGCGAGCTAAAAGAAAATAATCATAATAATTCAGAAAAATACAAAGTAACGTTTCGCCCAGTGAACCTCCAGCTTCGCTCTATAAGTCCGAAACCCTAACTATGAAACACTTTGTAGTATTTTCTCTTGAAACACTAAAATCCAAGATTAGATGAACATTAAACTCACGAATTGCTTCTTGAATAAGTTTAAATTCAAAAAATTTGTCTAAACCAAATTGGGGAAATTCACAATACATGTATTCCTTTTTGATTTTTATCGTGTGTATTAAATCAGTTCTTAGTCTCTGTGTAATCAAATTTGACCGTTTGACAATAACGACGACGACGATATTGCTTTCGGTTAAACAAATGAGCTCCCTTTGATATCAAATAGAGCAGCAGATGCAGCGACTCGATTTGAAAAATTATTAGTATTGAGACAATTATTTTGATATTTAGTCAAAGCCAAATCCGCAATTGCACATTTGTTGCCAGATTTTTTTTATTTCCAACCCACAGACCACGTTGCATGATGATGATGCACGAGAAAATAGCATTCGTACCCTCGATCTTGTAGTTCGAATATGTCAAACCGCAACTTCGATTGTGTAAACGTATTGAAAGAATAACCATAGTGACATAACTAACTACGTATTAGCACAGATGAATTTGTCTGGTATAATTATTACAATTTTATGCAAACACATAAAACATTCGCTTCCATCTACTAAACAATCATTGCTACAGGTAAAAAAATTATATATTTTACAAAATATCTTTAAAACGAATTAGAAGTTTTTGCTTCCGACCCTAATTATTATTCCTTGCACACATTATTTTGACGATAACTGATTAGTTTACCAAGAAATTTGATAGTAGCTTTAAAGTTAGCGTTAGATCATACCTACGTATTTATATACCGACATCTAACGCGATCATAGCTCATTAGAAAAAGTGGTCATTTCCCATTATTATCTCAGATATCTGTCCTCCTGCATAGAATCTTACTTGGTTTAAGTTAGAAAAGAGATATTTCAGGTATGAAAGAATAAATTCTGACTAAGTCATTTTCTTTTGTCTTATATTGTTTGACTTTGACTTTGAATATAATACGTACATAACGGTAACGTTTTGTAATACTGGTCAAAGACATATATCGATATATTTAATAAAGATTATATTGTCCTATATAATACGAGCAAAGTTTATTTTACTGAAAAGCTTAAAGTTCGGCTCACTTCGAAAACATCAATGGAAATCTTTCTGTCCTGGAATTCAAAAACAGACAGAAGGAGACGAGGAGAAAAATAAGATATTGGGAAGAGATCTTAGTTTATCATCCTCTTTCTTTTAGAAAAAACAGTTTGCAATTCTTGCACGTTTTATTTGATAACGATAAAATAAACGAACGCAGGTGAAACTCGCAAAACAATCTAAGCAAACCCAGAACATCCACGAATCTCATAATGTATGTCAACTTTCTGCATTTCTTTTTTAGCTGTTCAATAATTAATTTAATATTTTTGAACACATCATAGGTACGTAATTACATGTATTTTCTTCTACTAAAAAATCAATTTTTTGTGTACAGTCAGACCTCGTTGTTATCAACTCCGATAACATCAACACCCTGTTGTTAGCAACATTCGTCACAGAACAGATTTCAAATGATATTAACTCTAAACCCCGTAGTTATCCACATCAACAAAATAGCCCGGTCCCATTATGTTGATAACAACGAGGAACGACTGTACCAATAATTTTAAATTTCTAGCATGCAACACAAAAGTACAGAAGATTCTGCAGCCACAAACTTGACTGATACAAGGAGTTGAAATCCGAGCAAAAGAGGTCAGTAGGGTAGTAAAAAGGAAGAAGATACACCGAAAGTTCCAAGTACCCTGAAAGCTAATGAAATCACGCGCAACTTTAATGAATACTTTATTGTATTGTATTGTATGCTATGGCAATATTTTCACCTTTGGGATAATTTGCCTTATTTACATGAGCCATACAACTAAAAAGCTATTTGTTTGATATTTATGGAATTTGGTCATATGTCACATTTTATTTTACATTAAAAAATACAAGAATCTAGACAGGAAGTAATAAAGATAAAATGTAATTATGAAAAGAAAATTATTCTATGCCTACGTACGTACATGTGGTTTTCTCGTAATTTTTTCTAACTTTCATAAATACACAGTAACTCTTTTTATAATGTATCACAAAAGCTACATGTTCTAGCAAAAAATTTTCCATTATATCGAGAGTTTTTGAAAATTTATTAGTAAATCTACTATATCAAGTGGATTTTATTAGAGGCAGTTTGGTTATTATCCACTATCGCTATGAGTTTAATTAGTCTCCACTATAACTGGGGGTACACTATAAAGAGAGTCACTGTGTATTTCCTAATATATTCAAATTATCTTTGTTATATTTCAACTTCCGAATCTAGCGCTAGGTGTAACGTTTATTACATTGAAATTCCCCGAAGATGAAATCCAAAGCACTGTTCTATAAATAGCCAAAGAATCTAAAAAGAATCAATAAATGACAAAGGAATTACAATATTTATGGCACGGGAATCCCCTGTGCATTTTTTCTTGGAAAATAATCACCTATGAGATTTATTTTGCGAATAAATGTACGATTTCCTCAATACATGTATTTAGTTTTTAACTTGCAACAACAAAGCTACCAAATTCTCGAAAGATTAAATTTACTCAAAGATTCACCGAATTTAGCTTTCATTCCAAAGGTTGAATGTTTTTGGTTATTATGAGTTATTGGGTATTATGAAACATCATATATGTTAATTGCTCAAGGTTGAACTTTGCATTGATTTACCAAGTAAATGTAATTATTGTCAACAAATGCTATTATGTGGGTGATTTAAAGGCAACGCCCGAACCGCGTTTTCTTTTTTTGTTTTCATTTGTTCTTTATTGGAAAATTTTGTTTTGTCATTCTGGCTGCTTTTGAAGATCCTGAAAGTACGCAAATGTCATTAAAATGAAACTGCGTTAATCCATATTGGTCCTATTGTGAAGGAATTTCCAATTAAAATTTCTGTATAATTAATATCGATATATCTTAATTAATGTAAAAAATTATAAACCTGAACCGAAGATCTCGATAAACCAGATAAATGTCCTTCTGTTGCCTCCGATTCAACGACGAGTCACTGTGTACATGTCATATTGTCTAATTAATGTAAATGAAACAAATTTATCAAAACACAGTAATAGCTTATTACAATATTTTAAAAAGAAAGACAGAATACCACTTTAAACTAAGGATTCAAAGATCATATGCTAACAGTGACAAACAAATTCTCATTTACGTACTCTGTATCCATAAAAGACCGCTGACGTGTATGACAAAAGAAAATCTTTCTTGAAAAATAACGTAGAAAATTTTTGTGTTCTAAATATATCCATTACATAACGATAATAATAAGAACAGTGGTAAAAAATCTCAATGCCGATATTGGTGATATCATAATCCGCGTGTTGAAAAATTTTGTTTATATTCTACATAAATTTTACAATCGAAATCAACTATTACTTATAAATTAAATTTTTAAAGTGCCTGTTCCTTAAAAATGGATTTTGGTCGCTAAACCGTTTATACCGTAATTGGAAATACCCAGATCTAAATGACTAGGCAAGCGATAACGAACCTCCTTAAATATTTTGTGCGCATTATCCAATTTGTCTGCAGGTGACGTTCAAGAAAAGCAATCAAACTTCCTGAAATCATATCTTAGGATGTTCACACAAATCTCCGATTCAATTGAACATCATCATCTAATTAATGCATTCAAGAAAAGGCTCAAAAAATAAAAGATAATGTACTCTGATCCAAAAACAGTGATTAGGCCTTGGCTTTGCACTGATGTCAGTTGAAGATCTTAATGAAAAAAAGACAGAACGAACAAAATAAAATATTCGTGTCACACTCATTTATGTGAAGGCGCGAAGCGATAACATTATAGTTAATAATGCTACATCGAAAGCTTGATTATTTTTCAATCCTTTTCGGCCGTTGTGTTATTTAATATTATATAATCATTTATTGCAATTGGTCTTTGTTGTTTTGTTATTAGGGTTCAAAGTCATGATCTCCTGCAAGCTTATTTATTCCGTTATGGTAGTACCCAAAAAAGAACAGTGGAAAGTTTTATTTTAGACATTTTGCACTCAACAATGGTAGATTTTTTAGAATTGTTATACAAAAATAATAAAACGACAACAGATTTATACAGTTCATATTGTAATGTAGGAAAGAGAAGTTAAATCTATTACTAAAAACCAAATCAAACAACCAAATAATATCAATTTTTCATTGAATTCATATTTTAGATCTTAATCCTATTTTTCCTATTTAGGTATTTAGTAATTCCCGCCAAAAATGTTCACTTGTGTTTTATATATATATAATTTTGATATATCCTCATCAATCGCTTTCTCAAAAATTAATGAATTCTACGCATTGTCGTTGATATACTAAAATGTGGTTGTCAATAGCAGAAAAACAAGTTCTTTCCGAAGAGTGCACGTGGAATCTGGTTTCGAACAGTTATAAAAACACATCAAAAGAATTTCAGGAACAAGCATTGAATTTCAATCTTTTGAAAATTTTCCATAATAGACAATGACGAATATTGTTTTTTCAGAGAAATCTCTTTTAGAGAATATTCTTCCGGAAATTCAATATAACCCTAGTGAATACGACTCTTATAATATTGGTTATTACATAAAACCGGATTTCATTCATTTTTGGACAGACTTCGACGTAGAATTAGAACTTGACAGTACAAATATAATATATTCTTCTCCGGATTCACCAACTTCCCCAGTAAACGATAAGCACGACCTTGATTCTATCTTCAAAGCACAAATTCTCGATCCAATAAAATCATTGTCGCGTTGGAATGATCTCCAATTGGAACAAGTTAGAGAAAATGTCTATTTACTATCCTCCGGGTTATTGGCATCTACGTCCACGGCTGCTGATCCCGAACCACTAGAATCATCAAACACAAGTACAGTTGATTGGCATTTGTGTAACAGTGCCGGCACAGCTTTGTTACCAATCACAGTGAAGACCAAATGGGTGATCCCTGAAGAGTCGCCGTCTGAAATTAATAATTATCTTCGCGATCATGTGATTCAATTATTTGATTATATGCTTCAAAATGGTCTTCAATTTGGCGTTCTTTCGACATATGAATGTACGTGGTTCTTAAAAAGACCCAAAGAAGAGCCCTTGGGATTGTATGTTACGGAATGCTTCAAACGAACTGACGTAAATCCCACCGTTCTTCAAGCGTTCAATTATCTATTTCATATGGCAACAAATGATCCAATCTCTCCAAATTGGTCTCAAATTAGGTAAGCATTTATAATACATGTACGGTATTTGACTTGGATATGACATTTTTTCTAAATAAATCCTTATAATTTGATTTAGAATTAGATTAAATACAATGATTCATCAATCATTACATTCACAGATACAGACTTCTTCAACTGGTCCCAGTGCACCGAGACTCAATCCAGAAACTACTTTAATTTGGAGTAAAATCCACTGGTTTCCTGATAGAATGGGAAAATCGAAAAGCACATGTCATATTTTTTACAACGATAAACATCTTGCGCTTAAATGTCAATATGAAGGTTATACACAACAAGTTTCTTTGTTAAAGCATGAAGTTAGCGTGTATAAAGTATTACAAGAGCTACAAGGATGCTTCATTCCGCCGTTGGTATTATACGGCACATCTATTGACCACCATAACAACACAATTTATTGTTTATGCACAAATTATATTTGGCCAGCGCAAGGCGTCAGACTATCGAGAAGGCATAAAGAAAGTGCTATAAACGCGATTAAAGCCATTCATCGTCTAAGGGTTTTACATAATAATATACGTCTCGAAAATTTTATACTGGGAACTGATGCAGATAAAGGTGAAAGGTTTTACGTGATTGATTTTCAATCCGCCATAATTGGAACAAAAGATGGTGGTGAAATAAACGATTTGATGAGAGAAGCAGAAATTCATATGGTTTCTAGATTGTTCGACTCGTTAGATCCATAAATTTTATTATAAGCATAAATTATTTTTGATTATCTTATGTTTCCTTAAAATTATGTTAATATGAATTTTAAACCTTATTTATTAAGATTTCTAAAATTATTTAAGAACTCAACCTTATGACTTATTTATAAATATTTTTATTATATTTTATGAATTCTATTTTTTCTAGCTTTTTCGTGATTTATAATTTTTTCGTAAATTCTCTGTTTAGTAAATAAACCAATCCGATGATGATCAATTAACTTTACCGATACGTATCAGTATAGATATCGATATGAACAATATTAAGGATAATAAGCATATTTTATGTTCTGTAAATTAATTAATTAAATTAAAATAGTTCTCTAAAATCAAATAAGTATTCTATGTATGTATCGAATTTATTTTTAATTTAATATAGTTTTCCAAATATCCGCTGTATCAAATTTATTTCCGGAGTAACATTTTATATAAATAAACACAAGATTTGTATTCCCGGAAACAGATTGCATTGGTTAAAAGATTCCAGGCTTAAATTAATAACGTTTCGTTGTCATTACAGGTTACCTAGTACATGTCATTTAGACAATACATGTGTTAAGTCTTGAATTTTGTTATTGATTGGTGTTGTTCTTTGGCAAAGAGTAATGTATTGTCTTTGTTAGAGGCATAATTCTTCCTTTATTTTGTCTATTAATAGTAACTTTCTACATGTATTTTGCAACACAAATAAATAATTATGCCAATTATGCATATTTGAACGAAAATTGCATGAATGTAGCAAATAGACTTAAACCTGTACAGGAAAACTTTAAAATTGATAGGTTTGCAAAATCTCTTTGTTAAATACAGATTCAGCCCATGTATATGTCTATGCAAGTGTTATAATTAATTAAATGTACTACTGCTACATACGTATCGAAATTCATTCTTAAATGGTAATATATGTTATTATTAATGTCAATACATGATATGATGAATTCTTTAGTTGAAACTTAATATCAAAAACATGCTTATTAAATTTATGCAATAGTTAAAAATTAGATTTAAAAAATAAACTGTTCCTCTTGCTGAGCAATAGACGGGAATAGATCAAAAGTGTAAATCAAATTTACCGAATTTCTGGTAAAATCATCGAAATTTGATGATTGATCAAATGAAAAAGATTCAGATTGCTCACAATTCGGATGAATTTGGCTCTTTTGTTGGGTGGAATCGATGACAGAGGATTTCTTTTGCTGACGAGATTTGTTCGGTTTCTTTGAGTGCTTATTAGATCGTTTACGTATCATTTTCTTCTTAGGATTGTATTTATATGCTGGGTAACGAATCTTGTGCTCTAATTTTGCTTTTTCAGCCAACGCACTAAAGAATCCCTTTACTTGCGGAGAAGCTTCTTTCCACGCTTTAGATGCTTTACCAGAAACCTTCGAAACAAACGTTCGGTCCTTATTTTCCTCAACAATCCCCGCGCTGAAATTCCTTCTGAAGAGCATGAAAGAATTGAGGGGACGGGGAATATCCTTTGAAAGCTCTTCATTAGAATTTGTGGTCGAGATTAATTTGTCGACGCTTAAGAACAGCTCGCAGGGATGCTTTTCAAAAACTTCGTTTGAGTATGTGGTTTCACCACAGTTGTTTATAACAAATGTAAAGGAAATAGTGTTCATTTTTTAAGATTGGTTTGAATTTTTTGACGTCTCTTTCATCTCATTCGAGTGCTTTATATAAGAATTTTTGCTATAATTAAGGGACAATCTGGAATATATATGCGTTACTTCAAGCGAATCCTCTATTGATAAATTATGTATCAATTATTCTTGAATAAATAAAATACGTGCGTTATTAGGTCGCTGTCATGTAAAACGACAAAATAAGGGGAAACCCGATTTGACAAAAAAACAACTAATTTTCCTTATGCGAAAAGCTTTGATATGGCCAATAACAGTAGCAAACAAATACATGCGTCAATCAACATCTCCGAAATAATGACAGCGATTTGAAACAGCGACTAGTTTTACTAGTTTTGGTTGGAATGAGAAGAATTTGAAAAATTAAATATACAGAATTTTGTAATTGTGTTGTTATTTTTGTGGTCATTATTTTTTATGGTCGTTGTTTATTTGCTACATATAATACTATTAAATTTGATATTGACTTTTTAAGGAATACAATATTCTGCTAGGTCACATTTTGAAAACCAACGTTTCTTTGAAAACCAATGTTTCTTTGAGGCAAATCAAGGACAATTGCATAAGAACTCGCATAAAAACTCGCACAAATAAATGAATTCAATAAAACCTGTCGCTGTTTTACCTGATAAATAAGCGAGTCCGTTTTTCTCTTACCAAAAATGTGTACAATGTGAAAAAAATGTCGTTATTAAGATAATAAATTTCATTTATCTGCATCATTATGAGCAGCAATTACGTATAACACAAATCTGAAAATGTTTGTACCATCTAAAATTAATTAAACAACGACAAGATTTGGCGGTAGTTATTTTCCGCTTATTAAGATCATCAATTGGCAGCGCGATGCTTTACTTGCACCCATCTCATTAATATTATCCTTTATATGCATCGTTTTTTGTCATTATATTTCCATGCGACCACTCGGACAAATTTTGACTTATTCTAAAATTTTTGAACTGTTGTAAGTCACATTTGGCAGCAATCAATTCAATATCTAACAATTTTCACAATGATGCTGAACAGGCAGATAGTATTGTTTTTATTCGTTTAAGATATTTTCGATAGACTTCGTACATGTTATTTTTATAAATTTCAGGGTTTGTAAATTAAAAATAAGCCCAATAAAATAAAATTAAATCTGAAACACTAGAAAAATATGCTAAGTCTAGTATTAAGAGTTTCATTCTGAACAATAGTTTAAATCATTATTTACGATTGTGTTTATTATTATCGATTGTTTTATTAACAAAAAACCGGTTTTCTCTCTTAATGATCTCCATTGTTTTGTGCACACATGCATACAGATGGCATAGCGATAGATGTAAATCACGATTATTTTTCATACTACGTACGTAGTAATATATGTATATCGTATACGATATTATGTATTTTTTCAATTAGACTTGCTTATTCCTTAATTATTCTTAGTTTGATTATCTTAATTCTGCTTAATGTTCCAAAATGGTGAAAAATTTATTGTTATCATTGTTGATTAAGATTAATATCAATATTATCATTGTTATAAACAGCGGTATCATTATTAAGATACATAATATTTGATAAGCTACCGGAAGGAAAGACATAAATATTTTCCGAATTTGTGGTTGTATCATATAAAAAGTTGTCATTATTCCAGTCAATAATGTCTTGAGGATAACTATTGATCTGTAAATTATAGAAATCGAGGAATGAAGTCTGCATATTAAAATGTTCATTATTTTCCGTGTTATATTCTACTCCTAATTGAGGAATCAAGGTGTCGGTGTCTCCAATAAGTGTAGAATGTTCTATAGTTTCACCTTGAGCTTGATGATCTGTTGGAATGGTATTTTGCGCTGCATCCAAATTCGAATCTAAAAAATAGTTAACAAAAGTTGGCGTTGTCGAGATATTACCATCTTGAGGAATCTCAATCGGAAAAGGTTTCATTTGTTTTGTGATAATAAGAGTGGATTCATTGTTTCTGTTATTATTGCTATTATCTCCTTTATGCTGCATACCAGAGAGATCATGTTCATCATTAGGAACGGGTTTAACAAACATCGAGGGAATTCTTGTGGACGTTTCCCAAGGTTTCATCGACTTTCTTTTTTTCTTTGATCGTTTTAAAACTTCTTCTCGGTCGAATTGAGCTCGCGCATTTTGCGTAGCTTGCAATAAAATACCCGCAAGCATTTTATATAAACCTTTTACTTCGTGTGTTTCAGTTTTCCATGAATTTTGAACTATAGTGGACAAGTCAACTTGATGAACAAGTCTCTGTGTTGATTTGACACGTGCGTTGCAATCTTTACGATATAATAAGAAATCATTTGAGATGGTTTTTGCTTCTCTAGAAGGTGGTTCGAGTAGCTTATCAAGAGAGAGATATGTAGTTGGAAGAGTTGCTAATGTTGGTTGGTATTCCTCTAAAAGAGCATTAATCAATTCTTTTACGGTTTTTTCCCAATGATTCATCTTTAAATTTCTTAGGTTTTTCATTTAAGGAGATAATTTTTGAATTCCCTTCGGAGACTTCATTTTATAAATTTTTCGCTCGACGTAATAATACATACGTGATATTGATATCCGATTTATTATTCTATCTTAGTTTAAACTATATAAAAGAACAATGAACGTATATGTCATTTGTACAAATTTATCAAAATGCACAATAATTTTTAGTCAAAAATTAAGATTGTTCCCCATCAAGAAGAATTGGAGATTTAAACAGCAGCATACTTACTACGCCACTTATCAATGGTAGCCCAAAATTGGCTTTTTTGGTATACAAAACAACACCTGGTTTTTTTTGAAAATGAAAATTTATATTTTTAGAAAAAAATAAAAATAGTAACAAACAGCACCGTTGTCCTAATGTTCTAAGCATGCGCTATATGAATGATCATCATCTCTAAATTTAGCCAAGATAGAGGGACTTAAGCATGCGCTTTATTTTATTTTTATAAGAACTACGAACCATCGAACCATCCAAGAAAAAGTTATCTGTGTCGCGTTGGTTTCACGGCATTTCAAAATTACTCGATTCTTTCTAAATAAGTTTTCAGCACTGTTTAATAACTTATTACCTTAAGATCCAAATCTTGACTCTACAAAATGTTTTATCTTACGTGTACATATTCAGTTTGTCATAAGTTCCATTATCTCTGGAAGTAATATTGTTCGGCCAGAAATTTACAATATAAAAATGTGAAACGAACGCCAAGAAAAATTAATTTGCAAAAACCCAAGAGATTTCTTTCACTCTACGTATAGAAACAATGCTTCATTCAAGTATTTCAACGATTAATCAAAATACATGTACTTTTCATAGTGCAGGTGAATAGAAACTAGGAATTCAAAAAATTTCGTATATTCAAGTGTCCATTAAATTATTATTTTTGCTTTAGTTAACGTTAAAAGTAATTATATGACGTTTAAAAAAGTTCATCGCTTAAATAGGTATTCGGTTGCATTAACTCACGTTGACAGAACCGGTGTTAGAACAAGTTACGTTAAACAAATTCAATAAATCAATCGAATGTAGGACAACATCCTAAAGTTTAAAAGTTGGGCGATTGATGTACAGATTCCCAGGAATAGGTTATAATCGATACATACATATAAGGGAAATTCAATTGCAAACCAAATTTGTAGAGGTACACAGTCACTCTCGTTAAATTAGGTATCCACTAAATCGGAGATTGCTTAAAAAAACAAATCAGTTATTTCCTTGGCAATTATTAGGTTAGAATCGATACATACATATAAGGGAAATTCAATTGCAAACTAAATTTGTAGAGGTACACAGTCACGCCCCATTAAATCGGATATCCACTAAAATCGGAGAGTGCTTAAAACAACAGAGCAGTTATTTTCCTTGGCAATTATTAGCTGAACTGTAAACCAGATATCCTGACAACAAGCTCTAATATTTTTTCGCTTGTTAAACCAAAAATCTCGTCAGAGCCGGACAAATCGCGAGATTTTTTTTGCCGAACAAAATCCATATATTTATATGTATAGTAATATTTATTATTGCTCATTAATACTGGTTCATTATTTCAAATATCTCGTTAACAGTGTATCATTTTATCTCTCTGTTGTCAAAAAAAAAGGTGCCAACAAAAATTACGCGCATTTAACAGGCGTAAATGTATTTTAATAGTCAGGATACTAATATATAAATCTTGAAATTTTAAATCCAAATAAATTATTAATATACCGATACCGATACGCGCGATATGGTAAATTTAATTTACGTAATTATAATTCGCTTTTTTGTTTGGTCGTTTACCTTTGTACACATGTAACGTAATAGAGCAACTGTGCATCGATCTTTACCCCTGAAAAGCATTTGATATGCAAGAAATATGCACATGTGCAAAAACTGAGCAATGACTTTTTGTTTCTTTTTTCAGAAAACTATTGCACTTTTCGAGCTGTTATTTATCCCTTGTTGACATATTTATATCGAAGTACCGACGATAATGGTAATAAATCCCTTGTTTAATCAAGTAACGACGACAATGGTTGCATTATCTTATTCAATGTTCAATAGATTAAAAGATAACTAAAACAAAGCTAATATTTTACGTGGGAAAAGTTTGATGCGATAATTTCAACAATCTTTTACCTTAGTATAACGACGACGCTATTAATTAATACCTTTATTGGTGTGACAAAGGAGCAGAAAGTAACATTATTTTATCCCATTAGAACAGCTTTGGAACATTGGTAAACATAAACCGTTTTAGATATAAGGTTTTTATGCATTCATCAATAATCCGGCTATTTGATATTGTATTTCTTCCAAATTATGCTCTTCGGGAAATCATTGAAGTCAGCAAAAAATTTGTGAATTTGAAATATTGCAAAAACAAAGCTTCGTAATCTATCTCCTTGCATGTACTCGCGTATAACTATCTTTAATTTTTGATAATACCCTTGTATTTGTGACGAGGATTGTAAATTTAGCATTATTACTCTTTGAGCATGCGATTAATAGACACGTGTAAATGCTTTTAGCGTTAGTTAAGAGTGATTAAAACTATATTCCTTCTGATGTTGGACTATCAAGGGGCGCATTAACAATTGTTTTTTCATTAAAAGCTAATAAATAATGATAAACAAAGTGAAGCTTTTCGTTGTAGTTTAGTCGCACAGTGTTGTTCTAATTAAGCCCGTTTTTGTGATAAAACATAACAGACAATCCATAAACCAGGATAAACTACAAAGAAGTTTAACGAGGTTACATTTTGCGATAGCATCACATTACAGGAAAGAACAAATAATTGCGCCCATTTCTTTACCAAACAAATCTGAGGTCGGCAATGCCAGACAGATCGAGTCAACGTTTACATTTCATTATGCTGAAAGCGATAATAGGAAGAAAATTTCAATTATTGCGTCAGAATTACACCATTTCAAAACGCATATACGATGAGTATTAGCAGTGGGGTGCTCGAAAAAATATCAGAGAAATATAATCAGAATTAAACGTTTCAGAAAGATTGCATGTAAGTTTGTGTATTAATTAGAGGATTGTCCGTTTAATAAAAAATATCTGCATCAGTTTACTAATTTTTCTAGTGATGATCTTCCTGGAAATGAGTATAAAAGAAGAATATTAAGCTCGGTAACTTAATAATATAACAGTCTGTAACTTTGGCAATAAATTTCTTGTATGATAAACAATCACAAAGTCCTAGGTTTTGGACAACGAAAAAATTAATTTTCGATGGCTCATGGTTATACAACACTAAACAATCGCATGCTTTTCGTTGTTATTGTTCATCGATCGTCCACAAAGAACCGAAAATTCGGATAAAGGCTAGAAATCAATAATATATGCACTACGGTTGCACAGTTTCATTCTAAAAATACTCAGGTGCCCGTCAACAAGGGTGTTAGACATTTTATATAAATGCACGAGCCATATACTCAACATGAATAAGAAAAGTGGGAAATGGGAAAAACACCAAAGATTCTAAAGCCAAAAGCGGCAAGACATAATGCAAATCTAGATGCTTTTGAAGAATTCAGGTCAAAGTATCGACATAAAATTCGATGTCTCCTCTCAAAAGAACTCGTGCAAAGCAAAAATCCACTTCGACTAAGTCACACGGAACTTGAAGAGTTACTCGATTTTGGTAAACGTTCGAGAGGAGAAAAAGGACTTCCTCGTCCACAGAATCAATGGGTATTGTATCGTAAATATAAGCGTCTCGAAGTTGACATCACCAGATTTGGCCAAATTACAAAGATTGTGGCATGTCAATGGCATACAGAAACAAATTCCGTTAAACAATTTTTTGAATTTCTTGCCGAAATTAGCAAGCGTGCTCATAAATTAGCGTTCCCAGAATATCGTTTTAGACCGGGGCAAAATTTTTCCAAAAAAAAAAAGGACATTAAAATGAGCGAACCTGATCACGATCTAGGAGTCAATAACCTCGGATTCAACAATAATACAATTGGACATAGCATACAGCAACTTCCCATCACCGATACGATCTCGGAATCGCCTCAATTTTCCGGTGAAATGCAATTACAAACTTTGGATTGGAGTCACAACCAATTGTTCGCGTATTTTAATCCGGAACTATTCGCTGGGCTTAACACAACATTTGCGACATTAAATTTACAGCAGCCCCAAGAGTTATCATCACCCGCACCGAAAATAGACAACGTTGATGTCTTACCTTTACCGCAGTCCCAAGAATTATTATTACCCGTACCGAAAATAGACAATATCGATATTTTATCGTCACAAACAACCAATGAACAAATCGTGGTTCCTTCAATGCCAGAAATTAATCATTCTCGTTCTGTACAATCTATTATTGAATTGCAGAAACAAATTTTTTTGCTTTCGAGTCAGCAAAATTCGCTTTCCAATTTAACAAACTTTCAAACGTATCAAGAGTATTAAATGCAATTAACTTACTGTATCGTCTCACTTGTCATGTTCATGTTTAATCTTCGATTTCTGGCAATTTTCGTCGCCAATTAATTTTTAAGATTTACAAATCTAAGATCTTCGATTCCTTCATTCTTTTTGTAATTTGTAATTTGCTCTTTATTTATTCTTTTGACCATTAATAACAAATACATTATGATAATTCATTTATGACTTACTTGGCTTTTAAATTTGTGTTCAATGCTGCTCTATTGAAACGAGAATTTTTTTTACGATCGGTATTTGGTTTGATGAGCTGACTCTTGTTGTATAAAAAGGGAAATAAATTTAAAGTTTGATCGCTCATGTATGCATAACGTTGCTCTAATTTCTATACATGGTGCTAATTCTCATTGTGCTATATTTACCTTTTTTTTGTGTAATTTTTTAGAATCTTGGATCAATTCCTTAGAAGAATGTCGCGAAAGAAAAAATCTATATCCTTTGCTTCATTATCAACAAACATGCTCTTCTTAATTGCAGATGGATAATTCAGGATGCAGAAAATGCGTTTGCGGTTTCACTTTCTAATATCATATGTAATTAGAGATTATTAATGCTCGATGATCAAGAGAACAATCAAAAGCACGATTTAAATCTTATTGAAAAAAATGATCAAAAGTTGGCTTACCAAATGTAATTCAACTTTAGCATGATTAAAAAGTATGTCGTAGCATAAGATTACTCGATCGAAGCATTTAATGCATCGAATCGTTGCTCTCTCTCTCTCTCTTTGATTCGTCTTGATGCGCAGTTGAAAATTTTTTCTTTCCCAGGGCGATGTTTAAATAGTTTTGCGAAAATCATTATTAATCTAAAAAGAATTAGCAAAAGAGACCAATGTTATTGCTATTGTTTTTGTAAATTATATAATATGCCTGAGAAAGAAACAAAATGCCCATTCGTCGATTTACTAGGTATAGCTTGCATATACTTTTGAGAAATCAGTGTAGAGAAAAGAAAAGTTATTCTAACCGGGTGACATGCATTGTTGGAAATGAATAATCCGGGTTTTCTTTGTCGGTCTAATATATTAACGCTCCATGTTAATGTATAAATCGAAGCGTATTTTAGTAAAATTTTTTCTTAGAAAAATACTGAAAATGATAAAAAAGAGTAATACATTTGATATAGAAAATTACTTTCTCTTTCGGTCTAAGTTATTAAGAATTTCTCATTTACTTCGTAAACTGTAAAATAAAGCAGATGTAGCTGCTTAACTATCATCATAATAATAAGCCAGGAACCATAATATATAATAGAAAAAGTAAGTACTGAATAAATTTAATTTTTGTCTGCGAAAAAAGATTTTCAAGATAATTTCTAAACATAGACAATCTATATCGGATGTGTGACAAGAAAATATTGGTTGCGCTTCATACGCAATTAAAAAAGTTGTTATTTCCCAGGTGGATTTTTAGATAGTGTCGTAAAAATTAATTGTTACTAATCTAAAAAAGAATCAGCAAAAAAGACCAATGCCATTGCTATCGTTTTTGTAAATTAGATATTATTCTTGAGGAAGAAAATAAAATACATGTTCGTCGGTTTACTTGTGTATGTTTTTGGGAAACCAGCTACAAGGAAAAGAAAATGTTATTCTAGCAAAGTAATGGGTATTGTTGGGAATGGATAATCTAGTTTTCTTTGTCGGTCTAAATATGATGATATTTCTTATCGTTTCATGTTAATGTACCAATAGAAAGGTATAAATTTTTATTTTTAGTAAAGTATTTATTTTTAGTAAGTATTTTTTCTCTCTAGAAAATACTGAAAATAGCAACAGAGTAACGACATTTGACATAGAAAATCACATTCTCTCAGTTCTAAGATGTTAGATGAATTAGATTTCGGGAAAAAGAATCGCCCCTTTACTTCGTAAAACATAAAATAAAAGCAGGTGTAGCTGTTGATCGGTCATATCATACAAGTCAGGGACCATAAGATAATAGAAAAATACCAGATAAATTTGATTGTTTCCGCTACACTAAGAAAGACTACACATGATTTCTCATCGATCTTACTGCGTAGATAGATAGATTCTCAAAGATAATTTCTAAACATGGAAACAATCTAGAGTGTGTGCGACCAAAAATATATGACGCGCGTGCATTTCCCGCGTTCCAATTATAATCAACTATAATAGTTGTTGCTTATTTACTTTGTTGTAATCAATAATGATTTGCATGCGGAAGACAATTACTGTTATCTTTCTTATCATTTCTTCATTAATTAATCGTAAAAAAGCAGAAATTATTTTTTTGTTCAAAGCAAGTTTGAAAGTTGTAATAAAGAAAGGAAGTGTCTTGCTTAACTATTGTTCAATTGATTGCGTATGCAGACTAATTAGATGTTTGGTTGCAAAACAAACCACAATAATAGTAACCCTTTTCTTTCTTTCTTTAAAAATATATACTTTCTTTAAAATACCTTGTTTGAAATATAACTATTACATAAATATGCTTTGTTGAATTAGGAAATCTCGTAGTGTGAAACTCTGGTCCCGACAACAGCAAGAAATCACATGGTGTGAAACTTTCGTCTTGACAATAACAATAATAACAACAACAACAAAGATTAACTATCATGAATGGCGTATACAAACAAAGATGGAAAACAACACAGCTAAAGAAGAAAATGCGTATGCAATCAAATAACTGTGACTTGATACAAGCAGTCTGGTGATTCTATTTTCAATCAATGTATGGAACCTGCTAACTGTTTAGTATTACAACAATACGAATCGAACATAATATGTACCCAGTGGGTCAATTGAGAGGTAATTGGAGATTCTTTCAAAGTCGGCTAAATGTAGCTCCGGTTTAATGAGAGCCACTGTGTAGTCACATTAGCATTATAATGACGGATTTTTCTCAATCTAGCACCACGATCTTAACCAATTTCACGCAATTCTCTTTAACGCCTAATTTTCTAATCTCAGCATTTTATTCGAGCTCATAATGTTACTATGTCATCAATCATAATACCAAGCAACTCATTCACGAATTTAATTAAAAGCATATGACAAACCCAAACCAGAATCTGTTCTGTTTTGTTAACAGTGCTATGCAACAGTGACAGAAATCTATTTCGCACATGAAATACAGTTGATAAACAAATCGTGCGCGTGCTCTGCCTCTATTAATTGATAAGCCCACAAAATTTTTACCATTTTTTTATCAAACTTTATCTTTTACGCCAACAACAGGAACAACAACAACGACCACAATAACCCCCAAAAAAGGAGAGATGAAAGGCAGTGACATTTTTGATGACATATTTCAATTTGCTTATTTATGAATTTCGAATCGTTTCCATATTCGGAGTCCATATATACAAAATGAGTTAATAATGCATCAATTTATGTTAACATTGTATCCATAATAAGAACTTTTTATTATGCTGTTCAATTTCCCGCTTTCATAACGACTCCATCAATCATAGAATATCATGGGGTATGACAACTCTATCATATGCATACCTCAATCATGCAGATCATTTTCATTAAAAATAAAAAAAAATATAGTTTAACTTGAGGAAAGAAAAGAAAGCGGAAGAAGAGAGGAAGAAGAGAAGAAGAAGTAGAGAAGAAGAAAGAAAAGAGTAGAAAAAGGAGAGGGAGAAAGGAAGATTTCGAATCTTTATTAAAGAGCAAAAGTCTGTGCAAGATTTTTTTGCGACAGGTAAAAAAAGACAATCTTTTCATCCGTAGTTGGACATGTAAACAAATTCATCCCCTAAACCTTAAACCGGGATCGTTAATGATCCTTCAGTAAGGTAAGACTATATAAACTAATCATTTACGCCTCATCCTCTTGTATATTTAAATCGAGCGAAAAGAACGACGAGAACTCACACATTCTTTTATAACCCACACATTCTTTTATAAAATTCTTTTTCTCATAATAAATCTCTTGATGAAATTTATTTTCCTACTACGTCTCTCTTTAATTATTATAGTAAGAAAATAAGCAGACACACACGCTCACTCACACACTCTTTCTCTCTTTTTTTATTTAAAAAAACATCACGTTTACCGAACACCTTGTGAGCGAACCTACGTTTTCCACTTCTACGTCCAAACAAAACCGAATTTCGGTAAAAGATGAACTTTTGGCATATATTGAACTGATGTGTTTTTCCACTCAAAATAGCAAAAGAATTTACAAGTTTTTTTTACGTAGGATCAAGTCAACAATATCTTTCGTCGTAAAAAGCATATATCGTAAAATTCCAGAATGCGAAATCCTAAGGTTTTCAATCTCTTAAATTTTTTATACATGTATATATATATATATTGTAAGTGGGAATGGAATCGGCCAAAATTAGGATAGGGGTACGACTAGCGTTAAAGTAAGGGTAAGTGCTAGTGCTTGTGGTAAGATTAGTGTTGGCCAAAAGATTCTAACTCCACACTAAGTAGATTCCGAATCCACCAATATTCCATTCCCACTTACCACATGTATACATATATAGTAGATGTATGTATTTATATTAGCTCACTGTTTATTTATTGAATAGGTTGATGCCAGAGCTCTTACGATAGCATCAAACTTTCAAAGACCAATTTCGTGATGCCCACCTAAGTCTCTGCTATCCAATGATGGTAAAGTTAATATTTCCATGACTTAACACAGTTCATATTAGTATCAAACAACTAAAACCTAAAACTCTTTTTTAACATGTATAGGAGTCGTGCGTCGACCTTATAAACCAAGGAAAAAAATGTCGAAAACTAATACGCTGTGGTATTGTTGCAATTAACAAAACTAAATTCTTTGAATGATAACGAAAAAATCAAATTAAAAGACTATGCTTATATATATTATATATAACTTGTTAAGCGTTGCCCTGGTCGGCATCCACATATGCACGACATCCAAGCACTTCAATCGATTGGAGGTCTCGAATTTGGTCGCGAGAAAACGCGTCACCTGTCTCGGGAAGAATGGATTTCAGCATGGAACGAAGGTAAGCAAGGAATTGTAAGGCCATTCACAGTATTTTTGAAAGAACTCAAAAGGCTGACATTCATTTTTTTTCTTTTCAAATTAATAATAATGATAAATAGGTCCTTGATAATTTTCCACATCTACTTCATATTCTGAAAGCCGTCGTGCGTGACAAACACGGTTACGAACGATTGATTTTTGACTTCGAAAGTGAAGTGGAAAACCATATGACAAGCTTAATAACTTACCATTTATATAAGTGCCCACCACCACTCTCGCCTTCACCACCAATCATCACAATATGAAGAATAAGATTTGTTCCCTTTTAAAACCCACCCTTCAAACAAAAAAAAAAATATGATTCGATCGCGCATCTTTCTTTTAAGTCGATTAAATAATAAGCTTTTTTTAAAATAGATATAAGGAAGGTTTTTTTGTAATAGTAAGAAAAATAAGGACGTTCATAACGCACGAACTGACAAATACACTAGCACCACTAAGCTCACCGGTTAATTGTGATTATTAAGAATAAAAATACGTAAAACTAAGGTTTCTACTTGAAAATAAATATTCACCAAGATCCACTGAACATAAACGTTTGTACATCAAAAATCTGCAAACAGTTGACAATACATAAATAGCATTGTTTTTATTATGCAAAGTGGATTAATTTAATGAAACTTACAGATCAGGATATAATGTTTTTAGATGTTTACACAACCTACACCAATTTTATCCAAATGCATAGAACAAGAGCTCTCACGCGCGCGCGCACACACACTGTACTATGAATTATAATGTTTTTTCTAACCTTTTTCTTGAAAAAAAAAGCCGAACTAAAAACCAATTATAATACTTGATCTTTTGTTGGAGAAAATCCCACCCTTTTTTGTCTTCAAACTCAAAAGTTCACTCTTCCTTTAAAGAGCTGGAATGTTAAATTTCGACGTTGTTTTCGTTATGCCCGCTCAGACTATGTCTAACCGTCACTTGACGTTTATTTTTGACGATCGAAATGAAACCAAGAGAATCAAATCACTCTTACTTATCCGTAGTATGAAACGGCGACGAAATCCGACTCACCAATAATCAAAAATGTGTGTTTCATCACAAGTATTGCCGAACGAAATTCGATAAAAATTCACCACCACTATCCCAAAGAGAACAATGACAAAAACCGCTTTGTTATTGTTTTATCAGCCAATCAAGAATCAAGGACATCATCAACAAAGTAAACTAACTTAGGGTTACACCGTTTCATTCATTTGGTGTGTTGCTAAATTCGTCAACCGGCTTTAGATGAAACCTTGTGAGAGCAGCCACTCGTTACACCGATAATCCAAACGCTTATAAATACGTACTCGCACTTTCCACTAGCCACAACAAATCGTGCTAAATGAAAAGATATTCAAGAAAAAAAAGCATAGCGATGTCGAAAAATCCAAGATCTTATCAAGTTAAGAATCAGACTTTGCGAAAGCAAATAAAAGCGCGTACACGAGAAAATTTTAAAGCGACATACAAAGATACAGTGCATCATCTTCTGGAAGGAACTACAAGAAACCTTCCATATCAATTAACCATGACGGATCTAGAAGAACTTCTAGATCTCGGAAAAAGGGTCACAGGAACCAGCGAGAAATTGCCTCGTCCTCAAAATGCGTGGGTTCTATATCGAAAGTTCATGGGTCCTCGCGTAAATGTAACGGGAGATACACTCTCTAAAACTACCAAAATCGTGAGTGCGAGGTGGAAAAATGAATCAAAGGAGGTAAAAGAACTTTTTAAATCTCTGGCGCAAACGAGCAAGCAAGCTCACAAGATTGCGTTCCCAAACTACCGCTATAACCCCGTCCACAAGAAAACCGGTAACAAAGGAACATTCAAATTGAGAATGGATAGCAGGGTGACCCAATATGCACTCAATGGGACAACGCCCACAACAAATAATTCCAATGAGAGTAAATCGGTTGATATGGAGTTGTCTACTCCTATAGTTCCTTCCCAACCAGAAGGATCTTTAATCCAAAACTCCAATTCGAGTATTACTATTAATAATAATTCTGAGTTAAATCACCAAATTATTTATGATCAAGATTGTAATATATTTAATGGACAAGTCCCTAATAATAATAATGAATTTCAATTAAATCCATTACATTCTACAATCCTTGCTGCACCCGATCCAAATTTATTGGAGCTTAACGTTAATGATTCTGATAGTTTGCATTTATTTCCCGAAGACTATGTTTTCGATTTCGCAGAATTACTGCACTTTGATGATGATTCATTTTTCCCACATTATCCTTAACTAAAAAAAAGCATGTTTTTCTAAATACATTCGTAGAAATAATAAATCATCCCCAACTCTTATTCATTATGTTATTATGTTATTATTATCATTTAAACTTTAAGCTTATAATAAATCAATCGATAATTAAGACAATTGATATGCCATCGCGACTTTTAATACACAAATGCATTCTATGAATAATTAATATTATGCAAATAATCATCAGCCAATCATATGTTTAAATGTCTTTGAAGATGAATACTAACGTTAATAGGATCTCAAGTAAATCATAATTGTATTCGAGTTTAAAATGTTGCCAGATAAATAATATGACTGAATCTTTAAAAGTCGCAACATTAATTTTGCAGGATACGACGACGTCTTGGACTTGAATGGTCCTATTCGTACCTTTTGTATCTGAATCCGGTTGGAATGTAAAAACGAGACAACAAAACGTATTACTCATTCGAGGTTTGATAGTTAATTTTTTTGTTTGATTACAAATAATATATTTATCGAGATTGAAATTGAAGGAGGTATAGGAACCAGAGAATATGTCTATAACTTGACGATGAAAGAATTTCCAAAAGACATTATCCCGAAAGTCGATTATGCGTTAGGTGTTTGTACCGGAACTGCATTGATTGCAGTTACCGGTCTATTGGATGGCAAATCGACGACCACTAATAAAATCGCTTATAGATGGGTTACCGATCAAAGTTTATATATTTAAATTCTTTTAATGGAAGAGTTTCTTTTGAGTTTAGAAAATAAAAGAATTTAAATTCGAACTTGTGAATGTTAAATGGATGTACAAAGTTGATGGATTCACGATGAAAAATATTATCCTTCTGCGGGAGGTAAATTTACTTATGTGAATGCCATTTTCTTTAGTAATTGATCTGACATTTATTAATTTCTTTAGCTTCAGCGGGTTCGTTCGATTATTGAATAGATGCTTTTATTTAATTCATATTTAAAAACTGCAATTAAACATTTAATTGGTTTTCAGGAATCGAGTGGCGTTGGATTTCGTATCGGATATTTATGTTGAAGAAGCAGCTCAAAGTATTGCGATACAATCCGAATACGATTGACATAAGGATCCATTTTTCTGAATTGACGCAGCAATAACAGCAGAATTTATTCTCCAAGTTCATATTGAAAAGTTGATACCAAGTGTAATTCAATTACAGAAAGTCGTATATTTGAATAATTATAAAAATTCAAACAAAATTGGTAGCATAGATACAAGAGTCGCCCTTACCATTACTCAACCTAGGTCCCCCGGATAATCTGGCATGCCATAATTCTAAAAATATATTAACTGTCGCTAGAAATAAATTTGAATTGACAAATTAGAACTCAAATTAAACGATCTACGTCTATTGATAATGTAACACGTCAAGATTTATGTGCTATATATAAAAAGACAAACTTTAACATTAAAATTTGGCATGCCAGGTTCTTTAATCTCTATTATCTGGGTCTCTCAATCTTGTCATACCTTATTTTGATTTGGACTCCGGTAAAAATTACCACCTGTGAGCTTTAGCAATTTTCAAAAGTATAAACATGTGCATGTTTGTTCGTGTGAACAAAGCCAAAAAAAAAAGAAATATACATTACAATAGGTTTTTGGAATTAAAAAACACCCAATCAAAAAAAATCTAGTCAACTACGAATTTTAGATAAGACTCGAGCTTCTAGTATAATAAGAGAATTTTTCCATAAATTCAAGCATTCAATACAAAGGATATTGATCCCAAGATAATAATGCACTAGTTTATACAACAAACAAAAAAAATAGACGATTAATCTTTTCAATTTTCAAGAATAAAAAATAGTATTGACTGTTGAAATCGATTGAAAAATATTTTCGCTGAATTTAATTTAAGAGTAGGTAACGAACGAATTCACTTAAAAAAGAGTAAACTATGTAATTTGCATAAATGTAAATCTAAATCATTAAATTATGACAGAAATCGATCATGATCCCCTGGATTAGTGTTTGACTCGAGTATTCTGACTCGAGCCAAGTCAAGTTAGGATTTTTAATTCAAGTACATGTATCTTCGAGTTAAAAAAATCTTGACTTGACTTGAATCCACTTCAAGTTAAGTGATGATCTGGCTAAGAACGGCAAAATTAACTTAGTGTTATATAGTAAAATGTGGTGATAATACGTATTACTAAGTGATTTTTGTAGGTTGCTAAATCTGTCGCTGTTCAAATCTATTAATAAAAACAATGTCGATCCTTAAATTAAATTTAATTAGTTCCAAGTAAAGTACTTTTCATTTTAAAATAATATTTTCAGCTTCTAACAGAAAAAGAAATTTAATAGGTATATCTACACACTGATAGAATTTTATTTTAGATTAAATATTCAAAAAATAGTATCTTTCCCCCGAAAATTTACTTAGTATATATTGTCGTTCTTAGCCAGATCACCACTTGACTTGATACTCTGAGTTAAAAACAGGCTTGGCTTGAATACTTTTCGAATAAAAAATTCCGACTTGACTCGAATCCAAGCAAAGGATTACAATTTTTATAAAATTAACGAATTTATGAGGAATATTTTCATAGCTAAAAAGAACAATTTAAAGAATCCTGAATATCTATATATTCTATCATAAATTTATGGTAAACATCATTCTTTTATAACATATTCAAAGTTAGTCTCCTTTAATCCTAAGAGTGAAATTTATCGTCATGTCTATTTTATATCTATCCTAAGCCAATACATTATAATCGTATTATTGCTCATCTGTTTAGCAGACAGTTTCCATCTTTTTGCTGCCGAATGCTTTGATAAACGACAGGAAATGCAGTATTTAATATACGCTGTTTTATTTATGGATCCGGCATATAATTCAATGCTAGAATTGAATTACATTACTAAGCTCTATAAGAAAAATGCGCCTGTAAATTTTAATATATGTCTGTAGAAAAGTATAGAAATAGACGAAAGTGTCTGTAAAAGATACGTAAAAGACCACTCTTTACGTGTGTTTTACAGATATATACACACGTAATCGAGTATGTAAATGTATGAAATTGTAGAACAAACAGACTTTTAGTTACGCGACTTACGTATTTATATGTCTGTAAAACACATGTAAAAAGTGACCTTTGACGAGTCTTTTACAGACAGAACAGAATTTTTTGTGTATTTCCATACTTTTTACAGACATATTACGTGCAGATTTTCTTATAGGGTAGTGCAGTTACGAATAGATTGAACTAATCAAAAATCGCTTTCATCAAGTCTCGTCAACAAGATAAATAAATACACTAAGGATTTAATATTCCGTATTTACTGAAATCTTTAAAAATAAACTTGAAACCATTAATTAGCGCGCATTATCAGTTTAATATTCCGTAATTACTGAAATCTTTAAAAATAAACTTGAAACCGTTAATTTAGCGCCCATTATCAGTTGAGATTAAAATAATAATTACTTGTTTTCCCTTTTTCGCATTACTTGAAAGAATGTTCTTTAGTTTCTTTGAAACTCAAAATAGAAATGAACATGAAAATATTTATTTGCATGCGCAATGATGGTAATTTAAGTAAAACTTTCAATACCCGTTGTCTAAAACTGTTAACAATAAGTTTATTATAATAGATCACTAAACAATTCCTATATGGACAAATCTAATTAGTCGCTTTGCCTTGCAAAGAAGATTTTATATGAGAATTCTTAGAAACTCAAACAAAGAAAATGAATAGATTTCTCCTTCTTTTTGCTATTCTTGTAAAGGATTGTGCGTACCTAGATTATAATTACGCATAATTCTAATCAGCAAAAAATTGTTACACGATCTGCACTACTAACAATGACAGATGCGAGATAAATCCGGAATAAACTTGTTTTGATGCAAGATCCACTAATACGTCCTACATACAAACCTAAGAATAGTAAATCTAAGCTGAAACAGTAATTATAACAACGACGACAACAATATAAATTAGTGAGCCTGGATAAAAATTGTTCCTATATTATACCGAGAATAATAGAAAAACAAATATCGTGCGCAACTCTATATATATATTGTTTTCCATGAAAAACGAGATCATTAGACTTATACAGAAGTTGCGAATGATACCATATGGTGTCATGGATTATGAAAAATCGAAATAGAAATTTGGAAACGAAAAACCTAAAATTAAAACGTGCAAAGATTATCTTAATATTAACCATTGTTGTTATGCTAATATTCTGGGCATACAGACTTATACATTTTGTGTATCCAATAATAGAGAGCAAGAAAGAAATGTAAATAACGTATAATTGGCACTAATAAAAAGATTGCCATTTCTTTGTAAACAAAAACAAGATAAATAAAAAATATATTTTTCTCTAATTTTCAAATGAGTACTTGTACATATATTCAGTTGAATTACAGGGCGAGCACGCATTAGAAAGAAATCTTAATAATCATACATTTGAAAGGTAAAACATTTCTTCTCGGAAAAAACTATTTCCCAAGGATTTTCTTTGAAAACTCTATTTGTATTGTTGTTCTGACACTCGGTTTTTTGTTTGTGCAATATTGACAATATGACATGCAACTTTGCTAATTTACTAATCAATTATTCAGAGTCTTATTAATTTTTTTCCCTTTTAAAAACCGGTTTTTGATTATTATTTATTTATTATTATCATTATCAGTATCATTATCATAATCATTATCATCATCATCATCATCATCATCATGGCAACTGTTCTACAGATTTTCTTTGTTCGTTTTTTGGGGGGTAATCTCGCGCTCAAATACTCGATAAATAGATTAATTAGACTAAAGTGTATGTCGTGCACATGCAATTGCGGCTAATCAAAAAGGTTAAGGTGGAAAAAACAACTATAAAATATTCTTTTTTGTATCATTCCAATATAAATTACAGATCAATGAAAACATGATTACTATTTTGGGAAAACAGTAAATTCAGTAAACTGTTGTGACTATACCTGATTACAATGACACGTAATTCTTTGTGCTGTTTGCCGATGATCCATCCTTCAGCAATTCTGGAAACAGTCTTCTTTGTCTTGCAAAAAAAGTAATTATTAAGTCAGAAACTCGTATCTCATTATTTCTGTGGCACACACACGTAACTCTTCCCTTTGAACAATAATAAATTAACATCGTGTTGTTCCGAGAAGTTGGTTTTACTGTATCCCAGAATAAATTATACTGCAGCAAGAAAGTAATACATGTCGGACGTAATCTCCTGGATTGGCTTATATTTCGATGATCTCGCTCGAATTTTATATAAAAAAAGCCCATTTCCCGTCTCAAACCTTCATTACTCTTCATATATCACTTTTAACAAATTAATTAACCAAAATGGCAAAAACATCTCAAACCATCAAAAAAACAAACCAACCTTTTAGAATCAATAAGAAATCAAAAACAGTTTTTGACTTTAATCTTTCAAACTTAAAATATAAACAAGCCGTCGCTCGTATCCTAGATAATGAACTCACACAATTGGACCATCCATTACCATTTACTCGCTTGGAACTCGAACAACTCTTGGATTTTGGCAGACGAGTTTCGTGCAAAAAAATTCCACGGCCACAAAACAAATGGGTTCTTTATAGGAAAGCACAGGGAATTAAACTCAGTGGAAATGGAACTGGTGTGAAACCACAATTTCATGCTGTCGCCAAAATTATCGGCAATCAGTGGCAGGTAGAGGAGTTAAGCGTGAAACAATTCTTTGAGTTCCTGGCGGATATTGGAAAAAGAGCACATCGAGAAGCCTTTCCGCAATACAAATATAGACCGATAAGACGTTCCGATCCTTCTAGCGAGCGTAATTACGAATGGATAAAAGAAGACTGCGAAGCAATTAGATTAGCTGCTAGTTCAGATACACAAAGTGTAAAATCAATCGATGAAATAGCAAATCCATCATCTATTTCAATTCACTTTAAAGAATTCTGTTCTTTAGTTGACCATCAGCAACAGATGTCAACAACTAATAACAATATTAATTATGACATTAACTACAGAAGCATTGAGAATCCATACGAAATAAATCCCTCGATTCACTACTCAAATTCACCTGAAATACCGTGCAGCTTTATGAATATGCTACAACAAGAACCAGAAACTCCTTATCCTAATGATACACATCCATCTTTCTCAACATCATCAGAAATGCATTTCGAAACACATTTTGAAATGCAAATTCCTCAATTTCCACCAACCACAAGTCTAGAAGACATGTTGAACTCATGGCCATTTACATCATTTACAAGTGAATTGGATTTTTAATTTAGGACTTCCATTTTTAGAGTACTGATTCTTATCATGTAAATCATTAATTGATGGTATTTAAAATATATTTTGTAAAATAACAGACAATAAGTATATCATTTATTAAACGCATATACTCGATCGTAAATAAACGTAACCATCCACGCCACGTTATTAATATTATTGACCAATTCTTATCAAATAACACGACAGATGTTTTAGTGTCTCTTTACGATTATTCTTTGTGAAATTTAATCGATGAAATACCACAAACTAGGTAGCCAACACTCTCGGAGGAAGGGACAGATTTATTTTGACGCAAATGGGGGATCAACAGCATTTGGTATTACGATCATTGCACCTATAAACATCCTGTCCACCAATTGTCAAATTCCTGAAACCGGGAGCAAATTTTATTGTAACCTTAACGAGAGACAATATTAGATTACGTACATAAACTAGGGATTACAATAATAAGAACTTGTGCATGAATAAGATTGATTATCATCATATTGATTATACATTCCGAAAAATGTATTTTTAGTAATGTCGATATCGATATCGATATCGATATCTACTTTGCCAGCTCTAAATTTACCCCGAATATTATTTCTTTTTAGTTTTAACCATTAATATTGTTTACAGAATTGAATTGCCTCCTATGATCTTGAAAAAAAGAAAACGATACTTGGATGAAATATTAGAATAATGCGAAACACTACAGCACGAGCTTCGATATTGATTTTGTTTTGAATTATGCTCGTAATTAATTAAATTAGACAATTTTTGATTGTCCCCGAGTGCACAAGCGGCTCAGCTGTTTTTGATTCCCGCGAACTATCACCTATGATCTTGATATTAAAAATAAGAATCCCGGTTCTTGGAATAATGTTCAATGGAATTTTTCTGGTGATCTCGTATGCAATGTGACAATATGTACGTCTCTTCAATAATCTTAATAATTTTGAATTCCGCTGTGGCATAGTTCATTTCTATTTTTGAATTTATAATAAAAATTATTTTATATTTACCCAATTCATTATCAATTTGAATTTTATAATAAAAATTATTTTGTATTTACCAGTTCATTACCAGTTCATTATCAGTTCATTACCAGTTCATTATCAATTAATTGACCATATTATCAATTAATTACTAATCTACCGACGAGATCTTTAAATAACTTGGGTCTCCTCGCTTAGTAACCAAAAAAGGCTCGACTAGCTCAACTGGCTAGAGCACCAAGCGTACTTAGTCCGGGCTTATGTGAACACAAGTTCGATACCTACTTGAGACCAAAATTCGAATTATATCATGTGCAAAAGGATTCAATAATGTTACGCGGGGTTCCTTGAATTGGATATGCGAGATACGTGTGAGCGTGATAAATTAAAATTCTCAAGTGGCGGCTAAGTACTCTTGAAGATGCGGAGTTCAAGTCCCGCGTCGAGCAATTTTATCATTCGTTTGTGTACCATCATACGATGAAAAAGCCCAGAATGATATAGCTTACTAATTTCTCATACACGAAGTATATGAACAATGATACTAATAATTAAATAAGCTAATAATGGTAGGAAATGCTATTAATATGATCATTATATAAAAACCACAATAATAAATAAACTATCATAGAAGAGAATTGGAACTCGCGAGTATCGCAACCGGTTCCTGATTCATAGAAAATTGCTTGGAGCGAAGATGGGTATCGCTAAATAAATAACTATAAATAAAAAGAATCTATAGTGACCTAATTTGGTCGCTATTAAAAATTAATCAATTGCGATATTGCGACATAATAAAATCTTGAGTGAGACATATTGCGGTTCCATCTTTAGCCGCTATTTTGCTGTATGAAAGCTTAAGGTTAAAGTTTTGTTGTACTTCAATCGTTTCATGAATGAATAATGATGTATCTTTGTTGAGACGCAACCCTGAACCAATGAATTTTTTGTTTCCTTCGAACCTTCTGAAATGGTATCGTTGTTTCAGATGATGATTTATTGCTGAATAGCTCACCTGTCATTCGATTCGTACTTGTCAACAACAAGAGGCCTTGGTAGCTGTTGTGCCAATCGGAATAAGCGATAAACTAAAATTACGTAAGCTATTGGGTCTTCTATTATACAAAGCCTTTGTTCTTAGTATCTTAACGAAATCATACAAATTTATTTATGGAAACAAACAGGTTAATAATTTAGATATCGATAAGATGGCTGTAATTGCAATTAACGACTGGTTAACGTAACATCAATAATAATATATACATGTATATAATATAATATAATATAATATATATAATAAAGAAGGCACATTACAATAAATTTTTTACATTATACATAAAAAAACATTAATCTAAGAATATATACACTTTTATTCGAGTGTTTTTAAGGTACCGTATTTCGCTACCCTCCCCCCTTTAGGGATTATTAAACCCCAAATTTTTTTTAGTAAACCGATTATTTTCCTGCAAAATGATTCACGGTGAAATTTCTTAATAGCTTTGAGGTTAAATTCAGTTGCAAGAGGTACTTTAGGCAGCACTTTACGATAATATACCTTTTTGTCTTTGATTTTGGCAAACAAATATTTTGATCTTTGCAATATTGAAGCGGACCTCGAGAACACCTCTTTAGTTTATTATTTAATAATAAAAAGGTAGAAGAAGACCCGAGTGGTTTGAAGCGAAAATTAGTTTAAAGAAAAGCATATTGAATTGAAAATACGTCCACAAATACCGATCGTGATCTAGTATACCTTTCATCACCGATTCGAAAATTATACTGGCAAGGGTGGAAACATACACTGCTGGTAATCTTTTTGTCGTATTAAACGCCGGTATTAATAAATTCGTATATGAGACGGTTATAAAAGAAACTGCGCACGTCTATACCCTCTCGCCATTTATATCGATCAATGGGAACCAGAGACCATCGATGTTCGATTTTTTCCGTTCGAAAGAGGAAGACATTTAGAACTTAAAGAGATTACTGGGTGTTTATTTAGAAATTATAACGTTGGGTTGATTGCGCCATTGGAAATTCCTTAATGTAAATTTTTCAATTAATTTGTGCATTGCTTTCATGTACATTTAATGATTATTGAATGAATACTTAGTCCCGAGAAATCATTGAACATAAATTATGAATGCTCAGTCTCGAGAAATCACTGAACATAAATTTCGAGTCCAGTATTCAAGTATGAGTAGTGTAGAATTATTAGGATTGCGAAAACGGTCAAACACGACGAAGCAAACAGGCGATTGTTAATAATCATGCATTATCGTTATCGTTATGGGTATTTTACTTTTTCGCAGAATCTACGTCACACGATACAAATTAACGAATTGGGATTCAAGATGCAGCAGTATCCAATCATATGATAATAATATTGGAAAAAAACAACATTAGACATGCGATGCGATTCCGTAATTGTTTTGACATTACTGAAAGTATTTAAACAATATAAATAAAGCAATTACGACATGATCGTAATCAAAAAGTTTTACATGCAACCAATCATAGAATCATCATTCGCAGATCCCTTTCGATGAATATGTTCAGAAATCAATATCGAGCGTATTGATGTTGAGTAGTTTTATAAAGTCGTTGGAGATGACGAGAGTGATGGATGTGGAAGTGGCGAATCTTCGTAGTAATGCTCTACGTTTATTGTTATTTATAGCTTCAAAATTTCGTTGCGAATAAATATACTTAAAAAGAATTAATTGCCCGTTGAAAACAAATTTTCTGATTTTTATTCGCTCAACACACAATAAATTGTCTTCTGTGGTCCCTTCATCTAGCCATAATGTCCTGCCTGGTACCGTAGAATACAATTTTCTACGAAATAATGCGTGGATTGATGCCGCGGTGATGTTCGAATGAGGTTTTGTCATAATCTTTCGTCCCAGATTTGTTCCGAATTACTATAATTAGTGAAGTGGAAATTAGTTTTCTACGCGAATTAGCATGAATTTTCATGCTAATACTTTTCCTCTTTTCCCTCCATATAATAAAAGTAAATTTCTAAAAAATACCTCTCAATCTTTGCATTCTCTTTGATTTATAACAGCTTAAGAACAGTTTTAATATGCCTGAGAATTAAATAACTTCACAAACAAGATGGATTAGTTTCAAGAATGGAGAATTAGTGTATCGAAAAGTCATTTACTGCTTTGCATTTATTTGCCATTATCACTTTCGTATATAATATATATTCTCTAATTCATGTATTTCTTTATATCCAGCAGCAGATAAGTGTCTTCTATCACATGAAGTGAAGTTGAATTGTTAACGAGACCTCTTGCTTGGGAGAAACGGCAAAGACTTCTTTTGCCATTTTTTGTTTTTAAGAATGAAATTTGGTTTCTAGTACAAAAGTAATTATTGTAAATAAATAAAAGGTGCGGACTCTTTAAGACGATCAATAATGCCTCGGTTTGGAGTAAGACAGTGTTTTTTTGGATCACCAAATTATCATGACACAAACTACATCATACCAAGTTTTTTCTATTCTTGGTGCAGTTTTTTTCACAAAATTCCTTGTGGTTTAAACTATAACTTATATGTCACAGTTAGAACATTTACCTCAAGATATAAATCATTTATCGTTATAAAAAAGGTACATTGCATTTTCATTATTAAATTTGCTTAACTGGATGTCAGGACTCGTTAGCATAACTAGTTTTTAAAGCGTACATTAAAGAACGAACGTGTAACTTGAGCATTCTTAGCACAATATTAAAACACAGGTCTTTTATTAGATTCCTTGACATGCTTGGATCATGGTTGAAAATATCGTTGTCAGCTTAGGAAGCTATATATTGGCGCGACAGAAAATGCTATTATTCGATTCATTGATTTGATTTATTGATTATAAATCTGAATATTCACATCTTTTCTAAAAATTTTGCATGTGCTATGATGCAAACGATCTAGTTGCATAAAGAGTATAACTCGTTAATAAGATTCATGTGAATAAATCCCTCTGTAAGTTTATAAATTTAAATCAGACAAATAAACTTACAGAGAGATTTTATTGATGAGTCTGTAAAATGTTTGATGCAACCAGATCGGTTGCATCATATATTATTTATTGATTATTTGCAACTTTGATCTTTGTAACATAGATATTGTTAATGAGTTCACACTATTTTATTCTCAAGATAAAAATGATAAGCATACCCTATCAGATCTGAATTCCTAATTCTGGCATTTAGACAATAATGCTAACGTGATATTTACAGTGAACCTCTATTAGAATGTTTCTCGAAATGTGTCTAAAGTCAAAGTTCTCTATAATGAAGTCCATGGTGCTTTTGTTGATCAGGTAATCTTAATGATACTTCCAGCTCCTTATATAAATAATTAGCGGTATTTAATTTATTGGAATATTGTTTCCCAAGTATAAAATGACAAATATTTATTGTTGTTCTACCTGGAAAGCTATAAATGCACTTACCCTGATGGCAACATTTCTTCAACTCAATAGTGGCCGGTTTGAGTTTAAGGTAAATCTTTATTCTTTTTATTATGATCTGGAAAAATCCGTTTCTTAAGAGCTCTAGAAGTTACCTTAGCCCTTTATGATATCATATTAATGTCTATTCTCTTAAAAACAGCGTCACACTATAAAAAAGAAAAGGCAACTCTTATCAATAGGACCAACAAAGTCGTTCACTCTGCCCGTGGGAACAAAGTCTCTTATGACGTGTGTGTTATTGCTACAGGGTCGTCCCGCCAATTGAGAACATCAACGCGAAGGAATGTTTTGCATATCGCACGATAGACGATCTAGACGACATAATTGCAAGGTACAACGCGGTGCTGTTATTGGTGGCGGTCTTGAAGCCGCCAAGGCATTGTTAGACTTGGGCCTAAAAATTACTATTGTAAAGCGGAATAAGCATCTCGTGAGACGTTAAATTGACAGAGAGGTTGGTGCGATGCTTCTTTAAGAGATCGAAGAACTCAGTTCAAAGGCTGTTCTTTGCATGAGACCGAAGAAGTTCTTGATGGAGACGGAGCTGTGAAAGGTCTGCTCTACGAGATATAATAGTTTTCGTTGCTGCGGGTATTTGTCCACGTGACGAACTTGCCAAAGCATTGGGAATTTCGGTCCATCCACGTGGCGGTATTTCGTTGACGACCAGTTGCAGACGAACGATCCAAATATCTTTACTATCGGCGAAATCGTCTTGCACGCCGGTATAGTTTACGGTCTTGTTGCACGAAATGGATGGCAGACATCGTTGCTGCGAATTTAGAACTTCTGGTTCCGGTAGACGTTTCTTGGGTAGTAACTTGCCACGAAACTCAAAGCTTCTCGGCCAGTTTTGCGACTATTTTGCCGAAGAGAACATTGCCATGCCACTGGTTTACAAGGACTCGTTCGGTTTATTTACGAGAAATACATGTTCACTAAAGATGAGAAGCACTTGCTCGGTAGTATTATGGTCGGTGATACCGATGACTATGCCAAGTCCCAAGTCAAAAAACCATGGAGTTTAAAGGTAGTTAATCTAATTATAGTCTAATGATTATTCCGTAATTTATTCACATGTGGGAATGGATTAGAATTTTTCGGCCAACATTAATCTTATCCTCAGCACCAAACTTTACTCTTACTCTAACTCTAGTCATGCCAATATGGGCCGATTCCATATCCACGTAGATCTCGTTCCTCACTTACTATATATATATATACTCTCACAATTAAACTTAAGTGTCTTAGCAAAGAAATACGATCCGGATAAGTATGCCAGACACTTTAAAGTTTTATTTAATAAAGGTATGGTAACCTTTCTTACAACAGTCGATGACATGTAATTAGAAATTTAATATTTTCATTTGAAAACAGAATAATTCGAAGTCAGAAATATCTGATATGAATATAGGCTCATTGATCACATGTTTACTCGAGCCATCAGATATAATGGGGGGGAGATTTACGTAGTCACAGAGGAACGTATATCGTCTGAAATTTTCAATTTGGTTTATTTTATTTTTGCTACCCGCTTGGATCATTCAATTGATCCTCCTTCGATAATCCTTCCTTTTTGAAATCGAGATTTACCAACGAGTTTTTTCAATAACTAGATAGCACTCGATGATGGATAAGGGATGCTTAAGGTCTTAAAAATTATGGTGAGCTACTAGATAATGTATTTGTCATTGTGTATTTATATAGTGGTGGTAGCTATGTATGACAGAATTTGGAATTTGGGGATTTTGAATAATCTCAAAAATGCAAGATCAAGAAGATGCAAAAATGTAAACTAAAATTAAATGTCCATGAAGATATTAGTAGTAAAAATAATAATAATGATGATAGTGATGATGATATTAATAATTAAATAATGATAAGAGAAGGAATCCGTCTTTTGTTGCGGTGGTGGCCAATCAAGTTTCTTTACATGATGATAAACCTTATTGAAAGATTATAAATATTTTTGTTAGCACCAAATTAAATATAGCTAATTTATGTTTGTTTGACACCATATCAATTCCCATATCGAGCTTTGGTCGAATGGTTATTTCCCAGATAGAATTTACGACACCCACACTTTCGGGTTACACTTATGTACCCCCTAGAAATAGTCCCCAGCAAAAATTTAATTTTGATATATCTTTAAAGTAATGAATGCCATGAGAAACTTTTATTTTTCAAATTCTATTCGTCAACTCAACCAGGAGTAAACTACCGCTTTTTTATTTCTACAAGTACACGGAGAAACCTTTTTTTGAACAATAAATTAGCTAGTCACACAAAAAAATGCCTACCTTAATATTTCAACTCGACAGTCGTCTTTTGAATTTTCGTTACCCTCGATGTGGAGATTGCTGACCTGTAGGACCACCAGTAGCTACAGCACGAAAAGGATGAAATCGTGGTGGACGATGAAGACCTGCAAGATTCGTACGTGGAGGAGCGTCGCGCCTATGTATCTCCCTCCTCAGCATTTTCGCTGTTTCTTGAATTGAGTGTCGCCAGTTATCATATTCCCGCAGTATCGATTTAGCCACTCGATGACACAGTCGTTCGGGTGGTGAGCCGCGAGGGAATGGCGCAAGAGGAGGTCTAGATGACAATATGAATCTGTCGAATTTCTATTAGCGAATTAATAATTCCTTAGATTAACAATGACCGCAGATCGTGTCAAGAATGAGTACGCAGGAAACTGATATTTACGAATAGTATTAATTCAAGTTCGTCTCTATGCCAAGGCACAGGTGCGTGTTCGTCTTCTTCTTCCGAAGAGGAAGATACTTCGGGTGAATGTGCTCGAATCGACCGCGACCGGGTTGGTGGAGTTGTTATCCGTTCAGGCATATTGTATGTGAAAGTTTAGCAAGTTAAGTAGACAAAGAAATAGAAAACCAAGCGTGTCTAACTAAAGGAACAAACGAGAATATCAGTGATAGGTTATAATGTGTGTTGAAAGTGTACAAGCAAGAGAGTTTTGATCTGTTTTTTGCTACAAATTCATTCGACTTTTGCTCAATGGATGGTGACGAAATGTTTACGCATTACCGAGAATGGCCATGATGTGTTGTTACCCATCCTGATTTGAACCTGTATTTTTATCAGGTGATATAACTTAAAGAAAGACACGATGCATTATGGCATGGACAGATAAGTTTTCATTTATCGAATCTCTATCAAATCCTTTATATGCTACAGTCAAAATTCGATGTAGTGATACTCGTTTTGACTAAATAATGATGAAACTTCTAATAAAATTTCGATATAATGATGTTTGCAGAGTTTTTTACTAATGTCCCCGACCATATTATTATATCGAGTTTTGACTGTGTATAATAAAGCTGATAGCAATTTGTTGTTTTTAAATTTTACCATAACAAGATAAGTTTCTATAATTTATTTTTCTATAAAATAGCCATTAAACATCCATTATTATATATACATGATAAGTGTAAATAATAAACTATTTGTTTACACGTGTCATAATTTTAACTAAATTAATTGCACACAACGATAATTCCACGTGCAACGAATCGTAATTTCTGTTGGTTAAACAGGTTTTTTATAGTCAATTATGGATTTACAATACCATATATGCTAAATGGTAAACTAATCTATTTAAAATTCAAAATGAAAAAAAAAATGTTCTATATATTTCCGTGGCTTGGGGAATCAGGTAGAAATGATGAGCGAATAAATAACGTGGTGAATAAGTATTGTTCACCATTTCCATCATTGAGTTGGAGGTGCCGATAACCTTCATTTTGAAAAATTTCCGCTATCAGAGCTTGATATTAATAAAAAAAGGAAAATTTCGAATTGACCTTACCAGACTGTAAACTAGCCACAGGAAGACAGTAAGAAGCAATGAATTCGTTATTACGTATGTCTTCATCATAAACATTAAATCTGTTGTTTAAATAAAATGAGTAAAGTTAGTATCAAATAATTTTTTCGCTCGAATTCAATCAATTATTTTTACCTTAGGAATACCAATGCTAATTCATTAGAATTAACGCGGAAAGAAGCAGTTTCTTTCCATATGGGATTGAATCCATTATCATCGATTGTTTTTGTTCTAAATTTTTGGACTTCCGCGCCAGGAACAAGCAGTTCAACTTCAACAAATGGATCGACTATATCTCCTTTTGTTTGCTCCCGAGGTCTTGGAAGCTGCTGTGCCGAGATAATCTAAGCCAAAAATGCAAAGATATCCCGTCAATGTTTTGTAATAATGATACAGAAATGGCTTCGATTAATGGTATACCTCAATTTTCAAAATCCTTGCAGGTTTTTCGGTTAAAGAAGATTCAGAAGAGTTAATTGAAGGATTTCTCAAGTTCTCTGGTTTCAGAACATATCCGCATCTTCCATTAATAGCAAACATCGCTTGATTTATTTGCATACCAAGATCTGCAATCAATTTATTAACAATAAGTGAACTAACTAGCTTACTATATAAGATTAATTAATCAAAAAAATATTATTCACCAAATTTTTGCCAATTCAATGCCACTATCTGACTTCCGGCCATCCAATGGTGATGAGGTTCGTAATTTGATGATCTAATGCGTGTCCCCGCTGGATATATACGTGATAAATGACGAGTATTATGACGAATAAAGGCAAGTTTCTCTGTTTTTCCCAATCGCAGGGAAGTTTTTTCAGAAAAAGACGACATCTGACAAAAGTTTGATTTCTCTGCAATCGAAGAATTGAAATTCTATTAGTCAATTTCCTGCTTTTTGCAATAATGGGATTGGTGTATGACAATAATTACCAAGATGATATTCGAATCCTTTGAATTTGATTGCTGAGCAATAAATAACAAGATCCGACAATTCTTTAGCAACTCGCGGTTTATTTTTATTTTTATTTTTAACCTTCTTTTTTGGCTGATGTGGAGATTCCGCCATTTCTATAAAATTTTATTTCTGTTAGAGAAAATTTACATATTAGTTAACATGAATCTTAAAACCTTTTGATGATTCTGCGTCTGATTCAGTGTCAGTAGCCGATTCAGTATCCGTGGCAGAATCTAACGAGGCATCTTCGGAATTGTCTGGAGGAACATTCTTTCCCTGAGTTTATACAGATGTAAACATATTTATATATTAAATGCAATAAATCAATAAGAAAGATGAAAAATTAACTTATCGTTACCTTTATCAGAATTTTATACATCAAATCTGCTGGACTTGGCAATGCTGTTTCATTTTCAGATAAATATTCTGTAATAAGATAACCTTCCAACGTCTTACGGATGATCTGGGCCATTTTAATCTGTTGTTCAATAGAACAATGATTCTCTAGAGAGAGAATAAGAGGATATGGAGAAGCTTTGAATGCATAAGTGCGGATGGCAGATATTGCTTCTTGGAATGAGATCTTTGATGTTCTATATTAGAGAAAAAACCATGATGAGGTGATTTCTGAAGTTCATATTTATAGTATATAAGACGAATGTTATGTGATTTAAAAACTCACAAGGTATGTCCGTGCGTTACAACAGGTCCGTCAGTTCCATCCCAGCAATCAACTATTTAAAGGAAAGATCATGATATTATTAGTCATAAAACATTTGCGAATGATTAATTGATATATCAATAATTCATACTTTCTACACAACGACAACCACGCTGTAATACACGAATGTACCCCTCAATTGAAGATTCTCCTTTCAATTGATATCCCAATAAATATCTTTAATAAAAATGTTATGAATATTAATAAGAAATTCGAAGCATATCAATGAAAAGATGAGATACTCACGTATTATGTGAAGAATCAATAAAATAATGATTTAAAGGTTGTTTCATATCTTGGAAAACCTTTGAGTGTTCCGGAGAGAAAACCGGATTATCACTCGACAGCAGAAAACTGTTGAACCCTTCAAGTGTCATAGCTTTTCGATCATTATCGAGAAATTTATGATATACAGAACTATAATCTTCTTCGGCCAAATTGAGCTAAGAAGTAAAGATAATTAATATGGAATCAAAAATTAATTTAAATGAGAAAATTAAGACTTACCCTTTGTTCTTTAATTAGAAATTCTTTAAATTCATCCAAGGTTAAAACATCTTTGCTAGTTCTGGCCAATGATTCGAAAAGTTCTTCCAATTCTTGTCTACGCTTTATTAATTTGACAAATCGTTGAAAGTCTGCAAATTCCAACTCGCCACGTTTATTTTCATCCGCTTCCTGTAAAAGAAAATATTTTTAGGTATTTCTTATTTTGGTATTTTAATTGGAAAAGGAAATTAAAAATAGCCTACGTCAAACTTTTCTTTTAACAGGTTTTTTGACAGATTAATGTTCAATTGACGACACAGTCTCACAGCTTCGTCCATTGTCAATTTAGAATTTCCATCCTTATCTGCTTGTTTCCAATGTTGTCTGAGCCAAAGTGACTGCCTCCTTCTCATATGTCCAAGACCACCCATCATATCTTTTCTATGTAGGTATAATTTTTCCAATGTAGTTACCCACAGACGGAATGATTCTAATGAAGGAGCGATAAGATGAAGTGTTTTATATTTGCCAGAATCAACGTATATTATTGTTATCCATTGAGGTTCAACCCCTGAACTCAGATTAAAATGCTCTCTATAATTTCGTGCCGCTTCTCCAATACGAAGCTCTTTGATATTCTCGATGTTTACTAAAGAAATAAAATCATTATTAGACAATCATTAAAATAAAAATTAGAATTAATATAATTTTATTTATTGAACCTTTTCCGGATTTTCTTGAATCCCATAGAATACGTCCTTGGTCAACATCGATTCTAAAATTGCGCGAACGCTGCTTCTTTGCTGATACTTTAGTAAGTGGCGTACCCTCTGCAAGAGATTTATCAATATAAATACCATCACTTGTAGATTTCTTATGATTTGGGTATGAAGTAGATTGTCTTCTTAGTTTCCGAGGATCATTAGCTTGCTTAATTGGGCTTTGTACTTCCTTTGAGGTATTATTAGTATCCTTGGAGGGATTAATTTTGTTCTCATCGAGGTTTGTTGCTGATGTTACAATACTGCTAATCACAACATCATCAGCAACTATCAAGCTCTTTCGTTTTGGTTCTGCAGAATTTGTATTAGTAAATTCCCCTTGATAAGTAAGAGTGCGTCGAGTAGATGATGACATATCATTGGAATATGTAAATGAGTTAGATGTAGATTCCATAGGTAATGGGGTTGCTAAAGGTTGACCATGGTCCAAAATTACTGAATTTCTTGGTGAAGAATTTGAGGATAAAGATAATCCTGCATTGGATTCAGAAGACGAAGATTGATTATTTAAATGCTTTTGCATACTAACAAGATTAGAATCGCTTTTGGAAGCGAAATTCGAATGAGTCTTGATTTTCAAATCAGTTTTTGACTTCGAAGATTTGGCACTCGATGTATTTTGCGACACGTTTTCACTGTCGAGTTTTTTATTTGATAAATTGTTTTGATCTAATTTATCGATAGAGTTTTTAGGATAGGCGCATATGGCGTGTTGTTCTTTGGTAAAGGCAATAGGCTTATGAGACTCAATTTCATTTATGTTCATGCTAGCATCCTCACTTTTTATCTTAACAGAACTGATAGCTTTTGAATTTTCAGATTGTGAACCACTAGCAATAGGAGTTGAGCTTAAATCTCCCTCAACATCAGAAGATACAATATCAGAACCTTTTTGATCTTTATGATGATTTCGCTTTTTTGACAACTTGTTCCGCAAGCCAACAAAGGCCACCACGGCGCGTGCAAGCATGATTAAAAGTGTATAGATATTGCATGAATAATAAAATTAAAAGATCATACTAGTATAAAAATAAATAACTTAAAAATTCAGGATAGGCTGGTGGGCTTTCAATTTTTAGATAAATTAAGAACTGCTATCGGTGATTAAATTATTTGTTTATGTTAACGTAACGTTAATTTGTACTAGTGTTACCGCTAACCGAGATCGCAACAATTGTTACATGTAACAACTTCAATATTAACCAATCACATATCCAGAATCTTAACCCTAACCCTAACTCAGGTCCTAATTAACCAATTAAAATGCGATTGTTACAAATAACAGTTGTTACAAATAACAGTTGTTACAAATACATTTATTCAAAATAAAGTTGTAACTCTGGTTACAAATCAATATACATGTATATCGAAAATCGAACTCGAACTTTGGAACCCTAATTTGTACATCAGTTTTGGGAATCAAGTATTGATTTAGGAATTAAATGAAGTTGCGAGTTTCTATATTTCTTTTAGAATGATTTTGCTAGCGTTAGCTATATAAAATATACCCAAAGCTATTTCTTTGTGATAAAGCTTTCTTGTGCTTTGATGTTTTAATTTCTTAATGTTGGCCAAAATTACGCGTAATTTTTATTCCAAAATACTTTTGCCACAATATTAACAAAATTGATCTTGCGCCACAGCGCAAAATCAAGAAATAAATATTCTAATCTCCCAAGTAGAATCACGCAAAACTGTCTCTTTTCTCTTAACAAAAAGATTTAGTTGGATTTTGTGTGCCAGAAATCAGCTGATTTTCTTTTTATATTTGATTTGCTCACGTTCTTTCTAGTACGTCATTGAATTAAACCCCTTTGTACATTTTCGCATATTGATACAATACTGTGATGTTTTTGAGGGATGTCATTTATTGAGAAAGAAAAACAGTTTCCGTTAAATACTTTGACTGGCCGTATTTTTCGCACCGTGAAGAGAATTCGTTCTTAATAAAGATCGAAAACTATTAATGCGATCGATAAATACGTAGCCTGTTACTATAATTATCACGTGACTGTATGCTTAATAAACGCGGTGAATATAATAAAACTTATTGACAAATCTTTAAGCTAAAAGATACATTATATATTTAAGAAATGAAGAGTTTTGGTTCCGAATTAAAGGTATTATTATTACAAGGAATTATTTCTTCTTTATAATTTAACTCGTGGATACTAGAGAAATTCCGAAATTGAATCATCAAAACTATATTTTAATGTCTTGCATTAATAAGATTCCTAGAGACTTTATAAAAGTTAATGCAAGGTAACCTTTGTACTAAATATTTTGTGCTTTTCAAAAGGACCAAGTGACTGCGGTCAACCAATTTGTTCAAAGTGGAATTCAATTCTTAAATGATATACGCGATTTCATAAAGGAACGTGCACAAATAGAAAAGGATTATGCGCATAAACTTGAAACTCTTGCAAAAAAGTACGCGTCCAAGAAAGATAAAAAATCAATTGCTTTATCAGTGGGTGAAAATGGACTCTCGTCAAATCAAACAGAAATAGGCGCGTCTTTTGAAACTAGGTAGGAAAGATATAGTAAATTCTTTTTGTCAACTCATATGTATAATAATTTATATCTATTACAGTACATTTATCAAAGCGTGGGGACGTCTTCTTGAGGAAATAGAAAATATTGCAAAGGATCGACATTCATTGTCCGAGATCCTTTCTACAGCTGTTGTAGACAGAATTAAAGGAGTTGCATCGAAAAAAGAAGAATTTCGAAAGAAGGTATTTACTATATTCATAAGATACCAACAATCATCATATAATTCTGTGTTCTTAAATCTTATACAACAAATAGCACATGATATTTGCTCAAAAATTAGTCTCCGATAGGGATAAAATATACGCCGAAAAGCAAAAAGTATTTTTTTATATGTTTGGACGTCTTTTGTGTTCCTTCTCTTTCATTAGACCAATCTAAATGATTTCTCATAATATTAGGCTAAATCGCGATATGATGAAAGCTGTGTAGAAGCCCAATCCTCCTTACAGAAGCAAGAGCGAGCACCCGATGAGAAAACTCTGGAAAAAGTGATTACTTTTATTGAGCTTTTTTGTGTGGTATATATTTGCTGAATTTTGCTTTATTGATAATCTGAACTTGTTATTATTTAGTTAAAAAAGCAATCGATTCAAGATGAAGTAGATATGAAAAATAATAAGGCAGGTTTTAGAAGTTATTTTGAAATATATATTTCTTGATCTAATATTTTCATCGATTATTTTAGAATCTTTATATTTTATCGCTCCATATAGCAAACGAATATAAGAAAAAATATTACCATACTGACGTCCCAGCTTTAATTGATGTAAGAATTCATTCTGGGGTTACCTAATTTCTTTTCATGTTAAATTATTTTGATCAACTTTTTCTTATATTTTGCGAAATAAATATTAGCATATGCAAAAACTTAATGAGAGCAGAATAAAAGCGATTCATGAGATATGGAATGACTACATTGGACACGAATTAACAGTGTTATCAAAAACAGAGCGTCATTATAACGATATCCGTGAAGCCCTACAAAAAGTTGACGCCGAAGCTGATTCTCAGCTTTTCATTAAATACAATAAAAAAGAATGGGACGAACCACCAGATTTTTTCTTTGAACCTTCTCAAGCTTGGGAAGACAATGTAAGTTGAAAATTTTCTCTGTTTTTTCTATGTATAAAATTAATATTCATCAATAGAAATTATTTTCATAGGAAGAATTAGCCAACGATGAGAATGCTCAAGTTTTCCTTAGCAATAAATTAGTAAAGGCTAAACAGAGGTTGACTGACTATAATTCATCAATTGAGACAAAGAAAAAAGATATAAGTGGCATGGAAAATCTTGTTGATGCCTACTCAAAGAATCCTAGTCTTGGAAATGCTGATGTCGTTAATGAGGTGAATAAAATTTTGTTTCTTTTTTATTTTACATAGCTTCAACCGGGAAAAAAAAGTTTATGATCTTCGTGATATTCAAGAATTTATTAGAGACTCTTCGGGAAGTCACAAGTTTGGAATCAATGAAAACTTATTACCAAACAGAAGTGAATTCAATTATACCTGTGATTGGAGGTATACTGGCATTTCACTTCAACTTTCTTATTAAGATGCATTTCCAAGTATTAATAAAATTGTCCCATTCCAATTAATAAGATATTTCACCTGAACAAAAACCTCATGAATTTAAAAGTGCTGCTTTCACTATTCCAACTAATTGTGATCTATGCCAAGCTTCCGTTTGGGGTATTGCAAAACAAGGTCTCACGTGTAAAGGTAATGTATTTATCATTTCTGTGTTAATCTTTCCGGACATCACTATTGCTGCTGCTAATATTAATAATAATAACATGATAATGATAATTAATGATACATTATTACTTTAGAATGCGGATATAATTGCCATTCTAAATGTGAGATGAAGGTTCCTCCTAATTGTACGCGTAAAAAGGGAGTTATTAATCGTGGACTTGTTACAAGTATTGCATTTTCTAATCCTATTTCACCTTGGGGTACTTTGTCGAGTAAGCAACAAGTATTTCTGCATTATTTCTTTAATACTCTCGGTCTGAAATAATAGAGTAAGGCCGGTTCTGCAAGACTGAAATCAATACCTTTTCAATTAACCAAAATCTCGATATCTTGAATAACCTTTTATGTCTACCGTTAGGTGTGCCTAATTATATGTCGCTAGCAGGAGCATCAACTCCAACCTCGATTCAATCAACATCTACCGTAGTAGATCAAGAAGTTTGTCTACAAGCTACTGCTTTATATGACTATAAAGCTGGTGGTCCATCTGAAATAAGCATGAGGGCTGGAGATACGATGGTTGTTCTGGAACCAGACGGTATGAATTTCCCTTGAAGATTCTTACTCATTTTTTATGAATTAACTTAATGAATGAATATCAAATTAAAGATGGTTCAGGTTGGGTCCAGGTATGTCAAACATAAAAAATAACGTTAAGATTGATTGTTTTATTAAGTCAAACTTTTATAATAATAGGTTCTAATCGACGAGAATTCAGGATTAGTTCCAGCTTCATATATTGAAATTGAAAACCACGAAGGAATACATAGAGATTATGGTACAGATAGTTTGTTGGATAGCCTTTTTATACTGTTAAACAACCACTAATAATTTGCATTTCAGTTCGAGTACTTTATGACTACAAAGCACAAACCGCGGAGGAGTTGACTATACATGAAAATGAAATAATTCAAGTTACTAATCGAAATATTGGTGATGGTTGGTGGGAAGGTAATTAATTGACACAAAGAAAAATTGGTATAAATTTATCCTTGCATTTATTTAATAACTTTTTATTTATCAGGAATTATTGATAACCAGCGAGGACAATTTCCCGCTGCATATGTTGAGGAGTATATTGGATAGCAGTTTTTTGTTTCTGTAATTTTAATTTAGAATGTATTTATAGTAGTAGCTTTTCTGAATTATAAATAATATTCAAGCGTTATTCCCATTATCATTATTATTGCATTTCAAGATACTCATTATAATATTATTGCATCTCATTATCATCATTAGCATCTCAATATACCTATTATCAAAATCAACATCAAACAAGATAAATTAAACAATAACAATAAACGAAATTTTTGCAGCCAAATATATGGAGTAGCAACTTTTTTATTCAAGTTTCCGTCTAATTATGTACAAAAGTGAACAATATACAGTTGCTTTTAAGAAAAGTGCGCACCTAGACTGAGTGATAACAAGAGACAAATAATTACAAACAAGAAACTTTTTGTGCATTCGGTGATATTCTTATCAAAAGAATAACCGATAAAGGAAACACGTCGTGAAAAAGAACTATCATTAAAAGAACGCACACAAAGTGAATGTATCCGCCAAAATGCAGATTACAAACACATAAAATTCGATCTCCGATTTTTCCATGAACTAATTAATAAGAAAAAAGAATTCAGAAATAATTTTTCTAAGACTAGGAAAAGTGATCAGACGGACACTCTTTATATTTTGAATAAAAACATGGGAAAGGGGATAATAGATATTGATTGAATAAAAAGAGAATTGGATAAGTCATAACGCCGCCATATTAATTCGATAGAACCAATTATATGTAACGTAGCGATATTTGCAATTGAGGTTTATAAAAGGAACAAAAAAAGGCTGTTGTAGCTTAGTAGCGGTTATAACCGCCGCCGCTGCCACCATAACCACCACCACCGCCGCCGCGTCCACGACCGCCACGACCTCCACGGCCGCCGCCACCGTAACCGCCACCACCACCGCCGTAACCACCACCCCCGTAACCGCCACCACCAGAGCGTGGAGCAGGAGACGAACGTTCACGTTCAGAAGCACGATCAACTATTAGTGGTAATATTAATGATAGTAATTAGATCAATAAAGAACAAAGATTGAGATGTAGACATTATACTAATGATACTTGCCTTTGATGGTGCGACCATCAAATTCTGCATCATTCAAGTTGTTAATAGCAGTTTCAGCTTCATCGTTACTAATTATTCAAAAATCAATGAATATTATTAAAATAATTAATTTATTATCAGATAGTAATTGATACTAACTTAGAGTAGGTAACGAAACCGAATCCACGACTACGACCTGAATTGGATAAAAGGTTACCATTAGAAAATCTTTAACAAAAGTTTATCCTTACACACTGTATGGCAATTATATTGATAATTTTGCACAACAATTACTTTTGTACCAAGTATCAATTCAACCGCAGCATTAAGAAAATGATGGCGCAGCAAAAGCAAAGTCAGACGCCTTTGACTTGCAAAACGCTCTTTAATGATAAAATGTCTTTACCAGTGTCACGATCACGAATTACAACAGCATCTTCTACTTGACCGAATTCTTCAAACTTGTTGCGTAGAGAACGGTCATCAGTTCCCCAAGATAAACCTCCAACGAAAAGCTTGACGGACATGATTATATTCAAAAAAATTATATTCAAAGAGCTTTATAGTCCGTTCGATCGTTACGTTACGTTTGAATAAAAAAATAATAGAGGACCAAGAAAAGGACAAAGAGACACACAGAAACCGGCGACCTTAATTAAAGAAAAGGACACCGTCGAACACGAACAGGTTAAACACACAAACGACTAGAGAGAGGGAGAAAGGTGTGAAAAACAAATCGTTCGGTCAGGATACCCCAAATATAAAGAATTTCCCACATAATTTTGGGGTGGGTATATGGTACATTTGAAATTAGAACCAATTAAATTTAAACTATATCATCAACTTTCTTATTTACGAAAACAAGCAAAAATTTTTTTTTAAATTAGACCCTCGTGTGTTTGAAATATCGGCAAACCCCAACAATTATTCAATGGTCTATTCTATTAAGGTTAAGGATTTTTTTGCATGCAAGATGGCGAAACAATTGGTGAAACTATTTGGCGTTGCACTGCCACTTTTAAATTTTACTGTTTGTTTGTGATACTTTAGATTATAAGACAAAAATTGTGAGACAGAGCGTGAAAGTTTTCCTTAGTCCAAATTCCTGTTCAAAACTAATTTGGGTAATCTGATCCCCTATTTCCCTGTCTTCTATATAGCAACTATACAAAATAGTGTATGTGTATTATATTCCGGATAAATGAAAAAAAAATGGAGACCGTATTTATCACGCGGTGGACAACGAAAAGCGTAGGCCAAAGAGAAAAACAATAGAACCAAAAGGAGTAAGAATAGGCTATTCATGGGTAAGTTAACTGGCGATACATAAAAATCTTCCAAGTGAAGATAAAAAAATGAATCCGAGACTTCGATTTTTGTCGCTTTTGAGTCCTTTTCTCCTGTTGCGCGTTAACGATTCCGCGAGATATGTATGGGGTGTATTTTTGGTGCCATAAATTTTGTTCTTACGTAATGCTGGATACGTCTTCCTCTTTAAAAGGCAAGGAGGAACGCTTGTCTACGATTATAAAGTTTTTGACCAAATAAAGAGAAGATAGACGTTTCGTGATATCTATATCAATTTTAATGGGCTGAATTTGTTGGTCATAGTGAATATATCTGGAAAGAAAGTTTCCATGTCAAGAATAAAAAAATTCACAGTACAGGCTATTGGTTAGTATGCATCGAACAGCTTCATTGTCATTCCTTATCTTTAATAAGATACGACAATGAAGCTGATTGCTTAATTATCAAAAAGGATACGGTAAACGCAAAACTGTCATGCTTTTACTAGGCAGAATAATCTCATTGATTTGTGATTGTTGTCTGTCATCAAGATTCAAAATTGGGGACATCTCAACATCTTGATTATTAAGATCCTAATGTGGTTTAGAATAAAAATTAGAAAATTCACAAGTTGAAATTTCAATAGCAAATTTTTGTAATTTGGCAACCTTGATCGAAGGGTTCAGTATCGCTAATAAAGGTGGATCAGGGGTTACTATTATGATTCTTTGTAGTTGTGCCGTGACAGTGGGTGGTCCATTCAAAGTGTTATTACAAGGGCATAAAATAAAGATTGGTAAATCCTTTTCTAAAAGATCTTTTGCTGATTCCTATTAAAGCAACATTTTGGATATATTAGAAATAAAATCGTATGGGTAATAAAAAAGGCATTTATAATTTTATGACCTGAGCATGATTGATATGTCCGTGTTTGCAAACTTGCCCTTCTCCACAACTCATAAATCTATGCCCATTAGGACATTCATATTCAACACCAACATAACCTCGACTGAAATTCTGATTATTGAGCGATGTGTTTGCGGGTGTTTTTTCGCGTTCCTTTTTTTGTGCGATTTTTGTGCTTCGCCTGCTTCGCTTGTCTTTGGAGTAATCACCATTTTTAGAGTCCTTTGAAGATGACTGAATATTGTTAGTATCATGAGATATCTGTTGAACATTTTCATTCGAATCGCCGTTAAAATCCAATTGTGCCATCCAGGGTTGTGCAGCATCTATTAATTGATATAACAATAAATGTATTAATTATAGTTCTTTTAATAATATCGAAAATGATTTATCGCTTGTTAATAGGTTAAATTTACTTTCACTCGTTAACAATGGCCAATCTGTGGAATCCTTAATTATAATCTTGCTCGCTTCGAATGTTTCCTTTCCAGCTTTATTTGGTACAGTGGAAATCCTCCTTTCGTCAATTTCACAATTCATATTATACAAATCCACTGCATCTGTTCCTAATCCATTTACATCCTTAACTTGTGCAGTGTCCGCTTGATTGTGCTCGGATAGCATGATATTCCAGGATAGAAGGAAATTTGCATTTGTCACAAATCCATCCCATTTGTCTAAACCTACTTTTGGATCATAAATAGTACTTGACCCAAGATGAATGAGAGACCACATATTTTTGTCGGATGGCTTGTTTTTAACAAGAGGCAAATGAAACAAGTTATCATCTTCAGTTTGACAACAATCGTCAAATTTAAAAAATTTGATGTTTGCCTCCTAAAATATAATATGTCACAAATTATTAATAAAAACTTAAGATGCGGTATCAACAATTACTATTAGTAACTTTACCAAAAGATCAAAAGGATCTTCTCTTTCTCGGCGAGTCCTACCACAATTACATGCATGAAGCGTTTGAAAAGCGCTTCTATGTTTGACAAGCTTTTTGGCGTTTTCGTCTGTCTTGGAATCAGTATCATGATTTGCCTATTAAAGAACAAAAAAGTAAGACTTGATAAATGCTGGTCATAATTTGATCGTAAAAGCACTTACCCCTAAAACACATTGATGTCCTGTAAGACTTTCATACTCGCATTTCTGTCTTCCATGCTCCCATATATTCTGACATTCGAGTCTCAATTTCTGTGCATATTCTTGAACACATGGACCACGCGCAGATGACATATAGAAACCCAAGGCATGTTCTAGCTATAACAAAAAATACACCATATAAAGTTGGATCGAGGAATGAATAAATCTATAAAAATATTATTATACTTTAATTTCATGATATTGTTTGGTATAATAAGTCGGTGATTCTAGTAAATACACATCAACCGCTTTCCTCAAAACCTGGGCACAATGACTATATGAAAATCATTAGTAATATGATAATACAATATTACAACAAATATTTCTTTAATGAATTAATAATCTACCTTGCTGAGAATCTGTTGTTAATTTGTATACAATCTTTTAGGCGCCTTGCTAATGTATCCTCCACAATATTAGAAGCTTTGCGATCTATTAATTCTTTCGGAAGCTGTGCAAACAAAAATCCTTTAAGAGCAATAATACCAGATACCCATTGTCGTGCATCAGGCAACTAAACACAAAGGAAAGGTATTTTTTATAAATTCAATAAAAAATAATAAATATAAAGTTCAATTTTTACAAACCTCACTTGACGCAATACCACGTTTCACAAAACTTCTTGGATAACCAGTTCCCGCCCATTTAATCCAACCTATAGCGAAATCCCTCAACAACTTAATCTCGAAATTTTCAGTACTTCTCGCATCTAACCTCCTTCTCTTCAATAATCCCTCTATATCAATTATATCGTTTCGATCAGAATTTATGGATGCAGAAAGAATGACAAGAGCGGGATCTGCTGACAGCATGTTTCCCGTAGATCCACGAGTAATGAGATGAACAAAGAATTGGGAAGAAGGTGGAGGAAGAGTGAACAGTTGACGACTAAGGCATGAAGCATGTTGTTGAGTATCTGGCCCGTATACATATAGATCTTCATATTTATATAGGTCAATATTGCTGAGGGAAAATATATAATCCTCCATGAACATACCCGTCAAAAGACGCATGTAAATCGTTGGTTTGTACTAAATGGCAAGTACGAAATAGGAAACGAACGCGAGCTTGCAATGCATCTTTAATTCTTTTGATACTAATAGATGCCGACTATTTGGATTAATAAATAAAAATTAATAAAAATTCGTTGAACTTTCAATCAAAAAAATTAGACGAATCAATACTTTGTCATGAACAGCATCCGATTTGTTGGAATCACTATGAATGACGACTGGTAACTGAACCTGAATTGTATGGACCAAACAAAACACGGTAAAACGAATACCGTATATAATTATAAATCAACAAAGCCTCACTCACTTCTTGAAATAGAAAGAGAAGAAATGGAACAGATCTCCCTGGGGCCATTGTACCTCCTTGTGGAGTACCTCCTCGCCCCCCATAACCACCACCACTTGTCGATCCATAAGGAGAAGGGATTCCCCAATTTTGCCAGCATGTATTGATAAAATTAGAGGCATGAGAAATTATGTGTCGTTTAACAGAAGAAACAATACGTAATAAAGAAACCATGTTAGAATCAAGTTTGGATATCGGGAGTGATAGCTATCGATGTAAAAAAAAAAAAAAGGTGTACATATTATTTTATTGAATTGAAAATCCAAACTCCATTGAAGGATCTTCTTACCATCACAACATGAGAAACCATGAACATAAACACCAACATTCTCATATACAAGTGTTCCTGTTTCCATAACCAATCCTGAAATTCTTTCTTTTGTAAATAATTACGGGAACAGTTAAGTAAAAATCGAGCTTTGAAAAAATAGTACTTTCACATGACAGTTCTATAATAAATATAATCACCCCACTCTCAATAGAGTCATCTATATTTTCCCATATTTGCAGAAATGAAGCCCATTCATTAATGGAATCAAGTAACAAGTATATAGTGTTTTTCACATGATCCGTATAAATCCATAAGCCGTGCTAAAGATATTTAAATAATTAGATAAAAATAATCAATCTGTGCAAAAGATTCATTCCGAGGACTTACATTACTATCATCTCCAATCAATAAACTAGCCCGTTTTTGAGCACAATTGCATTCTTGGTCGATACAACACGTTGTCTAAACCAAAAAATTAAAATAAAAGTTAGAATTTAATTTTATGTAATAATTTTCAATCTAAAATGTACCCGGCCAAAAATGTTCCTTTCTAAGATCGTATTGGCAACAGAAGCCATATTTGGTGTTGTTCCACTTTGAGTAAAGCCTACAAACGCTACAACCGAAACCAAGGAGGAGTCATTTAGACGTGTTCTCTTTAAAGTTTCTAGTCAAATAAGAGAAAACAAACATTAAAATTGAATTATTAGCAGGCAATTTAAAAGTAGCATTTATAAACGACCCCACCTTTTATCTCTTGAGCAAACGCGTCCGGTTCCGAAGAAATACTTTCAGAGTCCTCCATTGTCAAATACAAGTCGTTCGTATCCAGTATTCGAAAAGAGCAATCAAAAATAATGATCGTTGATAAGGTAATGTTATTGGAAGTCTAGAAATTTACATTCTAAGCCTCCATTCACATATTATTTTTGTCTTTTATATGGTTATTCGTTCTTTGTTAAATCTTTATTGTATGGCAATCTAAATTTAAATATGCCAAGCTCAAAGTCTTCCGAGTTTGAGCCTCACACAAGTGATCAAACTTTGTTTCAACGTGACCTTTCCCAAAAACAAAATAATATTTCAAGTAAAATAAAAGAAACGAATTCAATTCCTGCTTCTAGTGAAACAATGCTTGGTAATTATCAAAAACAAGAATTAATTGAGGAAGATAATCTCAAAGAAATGGGTTATAAAAATACTCCTAATGTAAAGTCTCAAGGCTTGAACACGAAAGACGCTTGGAACATCACATTACTTGTTATTCTCTGTAAGTAAATTGACTGAATGACTAGTGAAATTTTAATTTCTGTGAAAAAATGGAATCGTTTTTAGGAAATGCAGGAGGGACTTTAGACTTTTCGCGTTCTTGCGAAAGTCTCTTTCTATTGATTTATTATTAACAAAAATACCATACTCGATTGAATTCTTTCATATCTCAAACATGATAGATCTTCTCCAAGGAATACCAATTGGGTTAGCATTTGGCTCAATTCCTTTTCTCCTCAAATCTAAATTGACTTACGGAGAACTTGGTATATTTTCTCTGGCATCTTATCCATATTCTTTAAAGTTGTTATGGTCTCCAATAGTGGATGCAACTTTCTCTAAAAAGATTGGACGTAGGAAAAGTTGGATCATCCCAATTCAATTGTTTATGGGAGTGGTATTTTTTTGGTTAGGAAATAACATCGACGACATGTTAACACGCGTAAGTCCATTTATTTGGAGATATTTGTATTTTATTTCTTTGATAATAATCAATTTTATATTATACAGAGAGCTCCTAATGTGTACGTTCTTACGATAATTTTTTTCTCATTAATATTTTTTTCAGCAACTCAAGGTAAAAGAATTTTTTGCTTCTCACCATTTTAATCTGTTGTCTAAGCTTATAAGATATAATTATATTTGATTTTTAGATGTGGCTGTAGACGGTAATTATGATAAGCTGGTGCATCTTATTTTTAATTTTGAGTTTAATAAAGATTAAATAGATTTTTTCTTTTATAGGATGGGCGCTCACTTTGCTATCAAAAGATAACCTTTCATATGCTTCAACAGCACAAACAATTGGAATAAATACCGGCTATTTTTTGTCATTTACTGTTTTTTTAGCCTTTAATTCGGAAGATTTTAGGTAAGAATATTAAATTACTTATTGATTCTTGGGATTTTACATTGTTGTAGTAACTAATTAAATAATCTTTTGAAAGCAATAAATATTTTCGGAGTGAACCTTCCGAATATGGAATTTTATCTCTGAAAGATTATTTAATTTTTTGGTCATTTATGTATTTTGTTATAACTGCTTATTTAATTTTTTGGCAATCAGAAGTAAGGATTTTTAGAAATTTAATGATACGTATATTTTAATAATATTGATGATTAATCTTCGAAATGTAAGGAAAATGTACAATCGCACGAAGACGAGATGGGTGTAAAGTCGACTTATCAAACGATATGGAATATCTGCAAAATGCCGCGTAAGTCTTCTTTCAATCTGAAAAATTAATGGATTAATGAATTAATTGATTACCAATTAATGTTGCTTTATTATAATCTAGATATGCGTAAATTTATTGCAGTATTGCTTGTATCAAAAATTGGATTTATCGCCAATGAAGCAGTCACTGCTTTGAAACTACTTGAAAAAGGATTCAGCAAAGAAGATTTAGCATTATCAGTAATGATCGATTTTCCTTTTCAAATAATATTTGGTTATTATGCTGCAAAATGGAGCAGTGGACCACAGCCCCTAAAGCCAGTATGTCTCAGTTTCAGAAATTGAATCTAATACCATTTTTCCCCTAGTTAATTAATTGGTTTCTTTTCAACTAGTGGCTTTACGCTTTTTATGGACGTTTACTTTTTGCTGTAGTTGGCATGCTCGTCGTAATATCATTTCCGGTCGATGGTGTTGTTTCTACTAGTTATTTTGTGCTAATAATTACTACTACTGTGTTGAGCTCATTTGCCAGGTATAAAAATTTTTTAGTTTGATTATTTTATTGAAATCATTATTAATATGATAATTGTATTAGCACCGTACAGTTTGTCAGTATCTCGGCTTTTTTTACAACCATTGCAGATCCAGTGATCGGAGGAACATATATGACGGTATTGACATATTTGTATCACTTTCTTTCTTTGAGGAAACTAATATGCCATTTCCTTGTTAAAATATTTCGTAAAGCTTTTGGCTACTTTTAGCAATTTTGGTGGTACTTGGCCTCGATTTTTCGTCCTGGAAGCTGTCGATAAATTTACCGACGCAACTTGTTCTGTTAAAAATAATCTTGGGGAAGGTAAAAAAGTTATTTCTTGCATCATTTAAATACATAAAACTTATTAAATTTTAAATTTATCAATTAAAAATCTTTAGTTATCGATTGTGCATCAGAACATGGTAAAAATATTTGCACTGAATTAAATGGACAATGCAATATTAATCAGGATGGATATTATGTTGTTTCGGTGGTGACTGTAGTATTAGGTACTCTATTATTATTCACCTTTATACGCCCTCAGATCAAGGTCCTTCAGCAATTATCTCCCTCGAAGTGGAGCCTGAAAAATGTCAGTAGACATAGTGATTAGGGCTTAAAAATTTTTCTTTTCGATTTCATTGTAGAAGAATTTAATTTTTATATGTTCAGAAGTTAATAAATTAGACATTTATTAATTTGTATAAAATTTGTAATACATTCGACAAAAACAACTAAAATATATACAAAAATCTTTTAACCTAATAATGCTTTCCTCAAGGCATGTTTACTATGGCTAAATATTTGACATCGTATTTAATGAAGATAATCAATCATCAAAAGCTATATATAAAATACATGAGCAACAATATATGCGCTACATATATAATATTAAATCCATCAGAAATGTTTGATATGGACGGATTGTGTGTGTAGCGTATTGCGGCAAATGGTAATTGATAATTTCTTCCAAAAAATAAACATTGTAGTTATTTTCTGAGAATTATTGTTATACGGAAGGTTGTTGAGTAAATTGTTGTGGAGAAGGAGGATTTGCTGGCATTGTTGATGTTCGTTTTTTCTTGTAATCTTTAATTGCAGATTTGATAGCATCCTCAGCCAGCACTAATTAAGAATATGTAATAACATTGTTAAGATTATTAGTCTAATAGTTATAAAAAAATGCGAAAATAAATATACTAAATAGAGAATTCGTACTTGAACAATGAAGTTTAACAGGTGGCAAACTTAATTCCTGAGCAATTTCTGTATTTTTTATTTTACTCGCTTCCTCAATTGACATTCCCCGAACTCGTTCAGTCATATAGCTCGATGAGGCAATAGCGGAGCCGCAACCGAATGTTTTGAATTTAACATCAACGATTTTACCAGTGGTGTCGTCCACACGAATTTGAAGTTTCATTACATCTCCACAAGCTGGTGCACCCACAAGTCCTGTGCCAACATCAGGGTCTGTGCGTGGAAGGGAACCAACATTTCGAGGACGTTCATAATGATCAATAACCTATTATAATATCGTTATTAAACAAAATGTAAATATTATTTTTATAAAAATAACAAAAGAAATTAACCCTCACAATATACAAACCTTTTCATGATATCGCCGCGTAGCAATGTTAACAGGAATACCAACAGTACGGACAAAAGGTTGAATAACCAAGCCAGAATTCTTTGCAATTTTAGAAAGCAACATATTCGATCTTTGTCTTGATATAAAAGAAGGTCTCAACTTATGAAACAAATAATACAAAATAAAATAGATTCATTCATTATCTCATTACGTATTTATATCAATTTTTTAGAATGAAAATCTAAGAACACACAAAGGTATCCTATCAGAAATTTTATCAGATTGATATGTATTACTAATTTTTTAGTTATCATTATCAGATTTTCATCGTCATGATGCATGCATTCCAAGCTCGTTATAGCGTAGTGTAGGAAAAATACTATTATGCTATTCCGGATTTTAATTTATCCGTTATAACGAAGGCAGAGTGTATCGACAAAAATTCAGAACACTCCGCTCGGAAATTTCTGTTCGGAATTGAACAGGCCTAATGAAAAACAACTCTTCACTTTTTTATAACTTGCGTTGGAGTACTAATGGAAGTTCTTCCGCAAAAAACTCGTGTTGGTAAGTCGTTCCTTTTAATCGGTTGTCATATGCACATGCTGCCCCTCAGAATATTGGCCGCGGCGATACACTGGGAAAATCTTTCAAACTGGTAAGTATTTTGTCATAAACAGTATCCTAGTGCAACTACTAACGATGCTTTGGAAAAAGATAACCTTTTTTTAATGGGAAAGTAGCGCAAGTTTAAATTGGCATCTTTTCGAGCTAAGTTACCAATTTCACTTGTGACCAGAGAGGCTTGAATGTGATTAACAATAAAATATATTTTTCTTCTTATCTCTTTGAAAAATTCAAAGAATTAAAAAGACTGTGTTGGAAAGTTATCCTTAATAATTAATTGGATAATTCATTTAAAAATGTTGTTTTAATTTAGAATTATTTTTATTTTACTTATTATATTTAAACAAATATAATATTGTAAATTCTAGCATTTCATATAAAAACTTAATAAAAATTGAAATTAATTTATTATATTTTTTATAACTTAGAAATCCAGCATATAAATTTGATGTTTTTTTATTAATGGTTTGGATTTAGATTTTTATATTACATGTAGCAAAAAATTATAAAACTAAATATTTTTATATATAAAAATTTGTTAAATGCTCTAATAGAGATGAGTCAATAGAAACCAAGCAAATTATTTTTTTTCAAAAATGAATTTATTAAAATAATATATTAATTATTTTTTTTAATTAATTATAAATTATAATTTATATAATGAAATTTTGAGATATTGTATTTCAAAATTCTTTTTTATATATTAATCCTATAAAATATAGAAGATAAAATATTAATTATTATAAAATTAAGAATTTATAATTTACTTGATTTTTATTAATTCACTTTTACATGTAATTATTTAAAATTTTGTATATATTACATTGGGATATCTATTATCAGTTTGATTACAAATATAATACAAACACATAATGATAATCATCTAATTAAAATTTTTTATAATAATTTTTTTTTGATTTTTTGTATATAATTAACAATTATCAAAAAATAAAATTATATTATCTTTAATTTTTCTTGTAATATTTAATACTGTTGTATAATGACCTTTCATCATAATATTTTATTGGATTATAAATATCTCATATATTATTGGATAAAGATTATATCACGTGAAGCGAGCGAACAAG